CACACACACAAACATACAATGATAGGGTGTCTGGGATGTTGTTTCAAAAGTGAATTATTCCTCATGTGGGAAAAGTGAGTAGCAACAAGAGAGAAGGCTGAGGGGAGTTGGAAATCATTAACTTGATGGATTGATACCAGGGAGCCATTATTTATTCCTCTAGTCCTGTACATGTTTGAAATTTTCTACAAGGATTTATTTTAAGAAGCAATGAGTAAAGTGTTCAGAGTAGATGGTCACGGGTGTCAAGTGAATTATTCCTCATGTGGGAAAAGTGAGTAGCAACAAGAGAGAAGGCTGAGGGGAGTTGGAAATCATTAACTTGATGGATTGATACCAGGGAGCCATTATTTATTCCTCTAGTCCTGTACATGTTTGAAATTTTCTACAAGGATTTATTTTAAGAAGCAATGAGTAAAGTGTTCAGAGTAGATGGTCACGGGTGTCACTTCCTTCACCAAGGACTCCAGTAAGGGTGTCCCGCAATGGAGCTATCACTGATTTGCTGGCTTGGGTCAGCATCTTGTCCTTGGCCATGAGTGAAGCTACTTCATGGGCGACAGTGGGGCTGGTGCAGAAAGGAGCTGATGGCAGACAGGCTGTGGATGGCACATCCACAGCTACCTTCTCACACAAGCGCCTTGCCTTAAGATATCCAAGGCTCTCAACTAGGTCCCTGCTGGTCTTAAGGGAATGTTGGTGTAACTAACATGTCTGGGCAAGAGACACCTGGAACAATGCTCTCCTGTTCCTGGCAGGGCAGAAGTAGAAGTACTAAAAACAGATCATCTTTGGTGTTTTGGAAACTTCAGTGAGATCCTCACACAGCCCTCTTCCTCCCCCGACTCTTCTCAGATCATTTCAGCTTCCTACTACCATGCTGAAAACAGTGACTGGAAGCTTGACCAGATGTCCACCAAGCCATACAGGGGAAGTCCTCCATGGAGTATCCTGTTCTTCCACAAGCCCTCAGGCTCTGATGGGAGACTAGTAGAGAGTCTCCCTCATCAGGTGGTACCAGTGGGACTCTTGCACGAGAAGCTAGCTGTGCACAGATGTACAGTGTGCCTGTGGTCCCAGGAAGCAAGCGGGAAGAAGTCTAGGTCACACTCTGCCCAACAAGACAAGGGTTGGTTGGTGTGTGCACCCAGAGTGTAGGCCTTCACTTTCGTCCCCGGTGTCCTATGGCTCTCATCCCCCTCCACCTCGCTGTCTACAGATTCTCCTCATTCATTCTCTTCCCAGATTCTCTCTCTTCCCAGAGTTAGTTCTTCTGACCTTTGCTTGATAACCTTCACCCATCCTAGCCTTGGGTAGCAGAATTTTTCTGTGTTCTTTGAAGGATACTCTAGTCACTACTGATGCAGCCCCCCACTGTGTCCTGGACCATTGTACAGCCCTGGCTAACTTCCTGTCTCAGGGTCCTCACCTTTAAGCTAACCTATATAATAAGAACCAGGCCATTCCCCTGTTTAACCTTCCACTTATGGGTACATCCAGCAGAGGTCATGCACCCCCTGCCTGGTACTGGTACCTGTCCTTCTGGAGTGCCCCTGGCCTTCTCCTGTCTTGGCAGTTTTGCTCTGTATAGCCTTCCATTCTTCTCCCCTTCTCTCCTCAGACCTAAATCAACTCCCTGCACATCACCTTCCACCAGTCCACAGTATTGGGACCATTTCCTGTTTGCTCATGCTTTTCTTTTCATGCAAGCACGTCAGCTGATGTTGATGTGCTTTGTATTTGGGATAACATTAGATCTGCAAAAGAGCTCTGAAGATATTAGAGAGATTTCCTGTCTACCTACCCCTCACTGACTTCCCATGATGGATATGAAAACTGTTGTCACCGTGCATCTGCTGAAAAGAACCAGCAGTGGTGTGTGATGTCTGCTGTGGTTTGAGTATGAAATGCCCCCCCTCCAGGCTCATTGTGTCAAACACTTGGTCTTCAGTTGGTGGCACTGTTTTAGGAAGTGTTATAAACCTCAGGAGGTAAGGCCTTTCTAAACAGCTCTCCTCTACCACACATTGTTAACACCATGATGTTCTACCCAAGCACATAGTCCAAGTCAGATGGACTAAAGCCTTTAAAGTCACACACTTGAGTCCTTCCTCCCATAGGATGTTTCCGTCAGGTATTTTGTCACAGCAAGAAGAAAAGTAACTTTTCAACTTGCTCTTAAACAGGAACATCTGGAACTGAGCAAGCAGGAGTGCCAGATCCCCTGCTGCAGAGATGAATGGCTGGCAGAGCGTCACCCAAGTTCCCTTCAAGCAGAGGGTGGACAGAGTAGGGCAGCTTCCAGAACATCCTGAGCTGCTTTTAGCGGCCAGAGGGGAACCCAAGTTCCCAACCTCTGTTCAATAGGCGGACCCTCACAGCCTTTGCCAAGCTAGACATGGCAGCTCTGCAATGTGATCCCAGAAGGGGCTATGATGGGACGGGGAGGCGGGGAGGAGAAGGAATAACATCCATCAAGATAAATGACATCTATCAAATCAGTCTTACTCTCGAAGACTGTCACAAAGAACATATATTCTCCAGAAGAGGAAGATAGGTAAGAGGCAGGGTAACTTCTCCCTCATATGTCTCACTCCCAGGAACAATTTATCAGTGCTATAGAACTGTCAGCACTGACATGATAAGGAATAACACCAAATGAATAATGTTCCCTTCAATACCAACTCCTTTAATTACAAGCCTCTTCTTTCCAGAAGAGAGACAGAAGATGCGAAAACACCAATTTCATGCACTTGTGCCTGAATAATGTCTCCGTGCTGCTTTTTCCAGATGGCGACCTCCTCACTGGAGGGACTAATGATGTGGGCATATTTAGGGAAAAACCAATAACGGAGTCTTTAACCTTCAACAACAAAAAGCGTGTTATACAAAATGTTCCTTGGGATACATTAGAAAATATCAATTACATTGCTCACTGAGGTGTAATCAGCTGTAATAATCAAAATTAATTTTTAAAAATAATTAAACAGACCCCAGGGCAAATAGTTGATGCTCTTATCCTATGACATCACAGCATACATATGTACCTGAGAACTGTGCCTTCTGGTAGCGAAAAAGGCAGCTCGTGGAGATGAGTGATGGATGTGGGTTCTGAAGGCTGCTGAGTTTTGCTGCAGCACAAAATGGGAAGCCTTCTATTCCCTCCTTCTAGAACCTTCCCTACCCATTCTTTAATAACCCATTCTCTGGAATAGTCTGTGTCCATTCCATTTGAAGTTCTGGTATACAATGCTCTAAGCAAAAGTGCAGTTGATTTTAAAAATCATGGAACACGCTCCCCTTTGTTTCAAAACCATCTTGTCTATTAAAATGAGGGTGCGCCAAGGAAAACCTGCTTCTGGTACCAAAGAGGAATCCAGATCCACTTCAAGTTAAAGCTGGCCTTAGTCTTGCTTTCCTATACATAGCCCTAACTGAGAAGCCACATGCACACATGCACTCAACATGGAATTAGACCATGGGTGACAGACAGCAGAGAGGAGACGCCATGACTGGGGCTTGAAGGGATGCCCCCGACATCGCCAAGGACAAGGTATCTAGGCTCACCTCTGCTCTGCACTCAGGATCTTTCACCTGCCGCCCAGGCATCAGTCTCATGGCTGAAGACAAACTTCCACTCCACGAAGTCGCTTTGCTGTGATATGTGACACTGGAGCGACTGGTCAGTGACTTCTTCTCAGATGCTGGGGGAGGGAGTAGGAGAAGGTCAGAAGTGAGGTTGAGAGGAGAGCACACAACAGTCCCACAGCTGGCTTGGCTGGCAAAGGGTCCTGTAGGGCCTGAGTGCAGCGCCCTGATAACAAAAGAGGGAAGCAGCCCATGCCGTAGCCTCACACTGCCATCTTCTGATGGTCTCTCCACTAAGAAACATGGTGTGGATTATGGAGTCTGGCCCAAACTCCTAAGTCCATGACTTGTGGTGTATGGGGAGACATATGACCAGATGACTAGAGTTACTGAGCCTCAGTGTTCTCATCATGTGAGGTGGGGATGGTAGAATCCGGGTGTCACAAGGATTGCCTAAGGTGACGTAGTTAAAGGATCTGAAACATACTAACTGCTCAGTACATGGCTGCTAGTCAAAGAGAACTGCAGAGTCTATCAGCATTTTATTCCTCTATATCTGCATGGGTGTATCCTATGATATTACACTTCTGCCTGACGTGGAATCTGATATTGTGACTTCAGATTATATGTGCATGTATACAGGTATTGCTACAGCTTGAATGAGCCCCCTCCAAAATTCATGCTGGAATATTACCCTCAGCATGGTATTATTAAGAGTCTTTTGGAAAGTGACCAAGTCATGAAGGCCCTGCCTTCATGAATGGATTAGTGCTTATAGAAGGGCTTAAGAAAATGAGCTCAGACCTTCATTGCCCTTCCATTCCTTCCACTTAGTTGACGCTTCAAGCCCACCTTGGAGGACACTGCAACACTGTCCAGCTTGGAAGCAGACAGGTCCTTCACCAGAAAGTGAATCTGCTAGTGCCCAGATCTTGCACTTCCCTAGATTTCAGAACTATGAGCATTTAAATTTCTACTATTCATAACTCATCTAAACTATTATAATTTTTAAAGCAGCACAAATGGACTAAGATAGATCTGTGCATATGTATTTTCCAGGATAATTTGGAAAACCATTTAGGAAAGGCCCCTAGACTTCCAGACAGTGAGACAATATGTAGAAACAGCTAACTCTTGCAACACTGTGAGCTTTGTGATGCTGAAAGACTTTAAACAAGTCTTCGAGTTCTGAGGAATTCACCTTAAAGCCTCCTCATAAACAAAATTAAAACCCCATTGCCACAACTGAATCATCAATTATGAAGGTGAAATGTTGGGTCCCTATCAAGTTGCTATGTTTGGAATGAAGACATTCACTTCATGAAGTGACAGAATAGCTTGAAGCTCAGAGGCTGTGGTGTAAGTTGGTAAAAAGTTTCAAAGCTGATAAGTACATGTCAGGACAGGACCCAGAGCTCTAATCTCCCAAGCCAGAGCCAGAGCCCTGACCTGGAGATCTAACCCTAAGGGACCACTGCTTGCTTGGTTGGTAGTTCCAGCCTTCCTTTCCACTAGTATCCAAATAAAACATTCATTCTTTGTGAGGACAGAAATGAGGGGTTTCAGTGATGTAAAATACACCCACCAAAGGGATGAAATAGAGGATCTGAGTAGATAAGGATCTGGCCCTGGTTGGAAAGCTGGGTAGACAGGTTCTGACCCTGAGTATAACCCTTGGAGAATCTGGCTTTATGAGACCCAGAAGTTTTGAGTCCTTGGACCTGAGTGGACAGAGACCTAAGTAATGCTGCCAGGCTTTGAGCATCGTCTCTTCCCAGAGTGGTGTGACCTCTTCAATCTTCACTTCACTTTCTCCAGCCTTCACGGAAAGATCAATCTTGAAGGCATCCTCCAGTGTCTGACGCCTCTGTGCCACGAGCTGCTGCCACAGAACCCGCACTGACTTCTGAATGTTGTGTTGGACTAGCAGAGAGAGCACACAGAACAGTGACAACGGCTTCCTAGAGAAGGCCAAGAAGGCCAAGAGATAGAATTCTACTCCTAATATATTGAACACAGCTCTGCCAGCAGTGCATAGAGGCACAGTGATGGCAAGGCTACCAAATCCACATAAGCTGGCTTCCCCCCACCTCCAACCACATGCCACCAAGTTCTCTCTGCCTCTCACATCCAAGTAAACAAAGGGAAATCAATGGGATCAAGGAGTCCCCCTGCCCCAATTCTGTTGGATACCAGAGACATCCCTTGCAGGAGTCCTCAGTAACCAAAAGGCTCCCCCTCAGCAGCCCTTCCCAACCTTCTCACATGTTAGCCTCTCTAGAGGGTGGAGCTCAAATGCAAGACTGCCCAGGTGGACCAGTCCCTCTTTCTTAGCAAGGATCTGCTTCTCAGTCTCTGTCCTTCTCAGTGTCCTAGGTGCTCTGAAACCTAGATAGGTCTACAAGCCAGAGATCTCCTTGTTGAAATCTACTCTACAGTCCCTGGAACTGTGCCCGAATCTCCTCCAGACCCTTTCTGGTGCTTGCCTTCTAGAGACTCTCTGTCTCTCTGTCTCTGTCTCTCTCTCTGTCTCTCTCTCTCTCTCTCTCTCATATGGAAGCTAGAGATCAATGTTGGATGTCTTCCTCTATCACTCAGAACCTCTGAATGAACCCGGAGTTTACTGACTTGGCTAGACTGGTTGGCCACTGAGGCCCCAGGATCCTTCTGTCCTCACCTCCCCAGGGCTGGGGTTACAGGTGCTCACCACTGTATTTGGCTTTTTATATGTGTGCTAGGGACCCAAACTCAGATCCTCATGCAAGAATTTTACTAACTGGTGTATCTCTCCAGGCCTAGAGTCTGTTTTGCTAATCCAAATGGGCATGTACAGTACCTGGTCTGCCTCTACCAACTGAGTTCCAAAGTGTGGCCATCTGTGCTTATTCGACTCTGTCAGTGTAACTTTACAGCCACAAACTTTTTGAAGTCTAAAGGCTTCCTAAAGGAGCCTCTCTGACAAAAGCAGAGGCATTTCTCTTGCCATTTTGTATCACAGGGTATCATAAGGCAAGTGGTACAGTCTTTAAACCAAATGGCAGAGACTTGGGCCTCCTGGATCAAGACAAGCAGTGCTATCTCTTAAACGCATGGACCTGGTCGTTGTGTGTGTGCAGTCCTTTTAACTTTATTTGACAATAGTAAATCCAAGAACAAACTCCATCAAGCTAAACGTCCTATAGTAACAAGTTTATTTCACTCACTTCCCATTTTCTGGGGAACAAAACTGAGAAGTAGCTAAGTACTGGCTTGAACTAGGTGAGATGGCAGGCCAGTTTCATCTTACAGTGAGGAATCAAGGGATTAAAGTAGGATAAGCTTTCTATTTCTCCATCCACCCATCTATCCCTACAGCCACCTATCCACTTCTCCATCCATCCATCCCTCTGTCTTCCCATCCATCTGCCCACCTACTCCTCCATCCTTCCATCTATCCCTCCAGCCTCCCATCCACCCTCCATCCTTCCGTCCATCCCTCCAGCCTCCCATCCACCTTCCATCTTTCTATCCATCCCTCCAGCCTCCCATCCACCCTTCTGTCCTTCTATCTGTCCCTCTCACCTCTCATCCATCCCTTTCTATTCCATTTCTAGCCTTTGTAGATCATTCCTGTGCCATGTCTACTCAGTTAGCTTACTGTGTGTGATGCTTCATCTATCTGGAATTTTCTAGTTTCTCTACTGGCCTTTGGAGAGTTCCTTCATATTATTTTCTCCCTTCACTTAGGAAAGATCAGCAGAAGAATGCAGGTTAACTGCACACATGACTATTCATCCACACTCCCAGTAACTATCCATCCACAACCTGTGCATAAAGCCCAGCAAATAAACTGTACCGTCACTCAAACTTGGGAGGTCCTGCTCCTTCCTCTCTTTCACGTCTTCACCTGGGGCAAGGAAGACTTGGTGAAAAGGACTAATCCTGGGCTTGGGCTCCAATCCAAAGCCTTCTGGATAACTAGTAGATAAGGAAAATTTCACCATAAATTCAAGTTTCTTCAGGACCATGCCATGGTTCTTAATTATAAATGACCAACCCTCTAACTCAATACTACATATCAATGTGAAAAAAACATGTTAAGTTAAAGAAAACACACCATAATATTCACAGCAGATATTGAACAATGACTTTCTGGACAGCAGGAAAAATAACTTGTCATTACATGTTGTCCTATCTTATAAAATCTTACTTGTACCCCACAGGCCCTGCCCCCATTGAGCCCTCTCCTGGTTTTCTGTCATCAGATCTGGCACTTTCAAAGCCTTGATCTCTGCTTTTGTTTGATGCTGTCCCATAGGGCCAAGAGTGCAACTGCAGAGGGCCCTATACTTTGAAGGACTCTGTTGTCACCATCTTTAAAAGCTTAGTGATTTATTTTTGAGACAGTGTCTTCCTATAGTTCCAGCTGGCCTGGAACTCATTATGTAGACCAGGCTGGCCTTGATCTCATTTGCCTCCTGAGCACTAGGATTAAAGGGGTTTGCAACCATACCCAGCTAAATCTTAGTACTTTTTAAACACAGGCTTCACATTTTAATTTTTCCAGGGCCTACACATGATAACAGTTGATGCAAAAGAGAAGTGCAATGGTTCATATGTGAGGCTTGCCTGGATTATATCCTCTGGGGGCCTCAACCATCCTGTGTCAATGTACCCTCTGCCAGGGGTCCCTCTCAGCCTCCTGAGTGAAATAAATACTCAGAAACTTTTTGTAGATTGAATCTAAAATGGCAAACACGGAGATAAAAATCTGCCTACCTACAGGAATGCCCACTGTTGAAATTTAGGTAATAAAGTGCTGACCAGAGGCCCTAAGGAGGGCACTGTTTCAACACATACATCCGAGCAGCAGTCTGCTTCCTGCACCTGGGCTTCCACAGGGAGAGGTGAGGAAAAGCTCCTCTGACTATACCCTAAAACCTAAACTATATCCTGAAAACAGACACTTCTGTTTCAGAGAAACAGGACAAGCGCCACCTCTGGGGTGGAGGCCTCCTCACAGCTCCCCAAAGAGGTTTACTTGTTACTTTGAGACAAGGCCGCTACCTGTCCAGGTTGACTTTGACCTCACGATCTTGATGCTTCCATCTCCTGAGTGCTGGGATGGCAGGCATGTGGCACCATGCCTGGCTTCCCAGAAGGCTTTAATATGACATTCAACAAAAACAGCGATTACATTTAGGGAAGGTTTGGTTTTTTTGGTTTTAGTGATGAGGCTTATGATTTGTACCAGGATAAATATGATACAAAAAGGCCTTGTCAGACATGGTGGTGCATGTCAGTCATCACAGCACTCTGGAGGCAGAGACAACAGCATCAGGAGTGAAAGACCAGCCTCAGCTCTTCAGCAAATTTGAAGCCAGCTTGGACTACGTGAAACTCTTTCTCAAAAGCAAAAGCAAAATACGGGGGGAGGGTGGGGGTGGGAGATACGAGAGATGATAACAAGAACCTATAGTCCCGCCACTCAAGAGACTGAAGCAGGAGGATTGCTGTGAGTTTTAGGTATCTTGTTTTAGATAGTGAGTTCTAAGCTATCTCAAAACCCAGAAAGAATAAAAAAGAAAGCAATAGAGCCAAGTCTAAAACCCTGAAGTCCCCGCACTTTCACTCAGCATGACCCTCTTGCTGAGAGGCCACATTCACAGGTCCAGTCATACAAGCTGAGCATCCCCAACTTGAAAATCAGAGTTTAAAATTCCCCAGAATCTGAAGCATTCTGAGCACCATGATGCCACACGTGGAAAATTCCACACCTGACCTCTGGTGGTAGGTCCCAGTCAAAACAAAAGTACTTTAAAAATATACTTTCAGGTCACACATGTAAGGTATATATGAAATAAATAAATGGGGTGTTTACCTCTGGGTCCCATCCCCAGTGTATTTCATTGTCTATAGGCAAATATTTCAAAAAAAGATTGTTATGTGTATGAGCGTTTTGCCTGCATGAATGCAAGAGCACCATGTGCGTGCAGTGGCTGCAGAGGCCAGAAAAGGGCGTTGGATCCCCTGGAACTGGAGTTATGGATGATTGTTAGTTGCCATGTGGATGTTGGGAATTGAATCTTAGTCCTCTGCAAGAGCAGCAAGTGCTCTTAACCACTGAGCCATCTCTCCAGTCCCAATATTTCAAAATTTTAGAAATCTGAAATCTGAAACAGGTCCAGACCCAAGCATTTTCGACAAGGAAATAAGGTTCCTAAATGTGTGGAGGCTGTGCAAACGCTGGGAGAGGGGAGAACATGGGGACAACTCGAACAGCTGTTTCTCAGTGTTTCCTAGGCAAGTGTGTTTATGGATAGCATGTCATAACATATATAGTGTGTTTGCTGCAAAAATTATTCCTAGCTTGTATGACACACTGAATTACATAATTGTCCATACTAAGATTGAATTTATCAAATATTAATGCCTCTGAAATCTGGCTATATCATAAATCAATGTACATTTAATGTTGGAGTTTTCTGCCTCAAAGTATTAAATCAATTAAATATCTTAAAACTCAGAATTGTGAAAATAGGGTAAATGGTTATTCTGTGGCATTTTTAGGTTTGGGGGTGGCTGAGCCTACTATCAAACACTGCACATGGTTTTAGAGAGCCAGCTTAACACACAGTGCCTTCACTTCTACCGGTCTCAAGCCAACGTCCTTCCCTTCTTCGTCTTGCTTTTCTATGCTGATCACTGCAGCTCTTACCTTCTCGAGTTGAGCAGCAGGAGACAATGCATGAGGCACAGGAGGAAGCTGACGTTGGAGTTATAAGTGGCAAAGACAATGTCCCAGTGCTCTTGGAGAAAGTCCAGGATGCTGAGGAGGCTGAGGCACTCAGACAGGGACTGCTGGGGCTTGGAGAGGCAGTAGAGGATGACTTTGTTTAGGCTGCTGTACAAAGCGCTAATGGCAGTGTCCCTTTGAGAAGATGTGTTCTCGATGACCTGCAACATAGGAATAAGACCACACACACACACACACACACACACGCATGCGTGTGAACATTTTTCACTTTTACATATTGATCCAGTGTACCAAAAACACAGTACAAGCAAAAGGTAACATGATCGGAAAAGCCCCTGTTTCATGGGTGACAGTTAATGTAGAGACTCTTCATTGGTCAGTGCGTCGAGTGTAAGTGACTTCTTGTGACTGTTGAGTGTTCATCTCCAAACCAGACATCTACATCTCCTTCTCTAGGGCTCAGGAAACATCACAGAAGAGGGGGCAGAAAGAATTCAAGAAGGGGGAAGGGGAAGAGTGCTGTGAAACACTGCCTGGACATGACACAGCTCTGTACCTTTGAACTCACAGCAGCTGTGACTCCCCACATGAAACTGGTACAAGACAGGGCCCATTCACATTCCAGAATGGGGGAACAGGCTCATAAGGCCCCACTCTCCCTGAGGAGCTACAGGCAGTTAATGGTTACTGGAAGAGGAGTCATAACCTCCAGTGGTGTAGCCATTGGTAAGTTGCCCTTACTCAAGAAAATAATACCACCACCCATCAACCGTAACTAAATGAAATAGGCTACCAAAAAAAAAAAAAAAAAGTAGCAGGGGCGCTTGAGAAGAGAAAGGGGTTAGGTAGGAGGGCAAAGGGGGTAAGAGAGTAATGGGGAAGACTTTGATTGAAGGACATTTTACACAAATATACATATATATGCATAAAATTCTGAAGGGATAATGTTTTCAAGTGACACAATCTGAACTGCAGGGTCAATAAAGGCAAGTCAGTATTTGAGTAAAATCTTGTGTAAAGAAAAGAAAGCTGAAAGCTGATATATTTTTGGAAAATGGATTTTGGTAACCAGAGGTTTCTGAAATACTGGTAGTATGGTTGACATTCAGTGTATGCGAACATGCTGCCAGTAATATCTAATTTTAAAAATAGATATATGTTACTAACAGCTGTAACAATATTAATAATTAAACATTCCCAGTATTGTGCTAAGCATTAGTTTTAGTTGCATCTACATAAAGTTACATGTATCATCTCATTTAAATGTCATGATGTCATGAAGTAGATTCTGAGAACCCCTGGCTTTTAGAAAGCTTCTCCTTTCCTCCCACCTATCCTGGATTCTATTTCCACACCTAGGCAGCAGGAAGACTCCCAGGTCATCAGCATGAGGTCTCCTAGCACCCTGGTGGCCCAATTTCTTACCACTATGATGTGCTCAGTGATGAAGAGAAGGACGTGCCTGGGGTCTGCTGAGAACACCCCACTGTACAGCTTCTCCACCAGCTTCTGGGTGAAGTAGGAAATGTTTGCAAGGGAAGGAGCAGCAGCGGCTTCTATGTTTGGCTGAGGCTCTGGGTGGGGTGGGGAGACAGACTGGGATGAGCCTGATGGTCTTCTCTCCATCAATCTTTAAGTCCCTCATGGTAATCACATCCTAGACACCTTTGTACTCCAGCATTCCAAAGATGGAATCTCTGGAAGGTGCACAGTAAAAAGACATTTAGTCAAAGCAAACTGAATAATCTAGTCAGTGATATAAACCAAAGGATGAGCCAAGCATGGTGGCCCACGCGGTTAGTCCCAGCACTCAGGTGGCAGAGGCAGGCAGATCTCTGTGGGTTCAAGGTCACCCTGGTTTACATAGTGAGTCCCAGGCCAGCTGGGGCTATGGGGAGACGCTGTCTCAAAAATACCAAAAAAAAAAAAAAAAAAAAAAAAAAAAAACAAACAAACCAACAACAACAAAAAACAACAACAACAAAAAACCCAAATGATGAGAAACCAATCAAAGGACCGCTTCTTCCAGAGGATCTTTGAAATTAAAACAGGAGAATTGAATGCTCAATGTAAAGTAGAAGATCTGAGGCCATGCTGTCATGTTGGCTTAAGGACACAGCCTAATGTAAAGCAGTCGGCCTTGACAGCAGGTGCTATGCTAACCTGAGCATGTAGAGATCTCAGATACCTCCTACAACCATCCCAAGACTGCCGTCTTCACAGCTCTGGCCCCTACCCCAGTCACACTGCCATCCAGTGATGGAGTCAGGACGAGCACTGGGCTGCCATGCCAACACTACCAACACTGCCCCCCTGCTTATTACCAGATACCTAAAGAGAGACACAAGCCAGGATTCCACACTGGGTGGCAGGTAAAAATCCTAAAGCAAGTTGTGCCACAAGGGATTCCCGGGGTTCCGAAACCATAGGAGAGACTTGGACTGCATCTTATGGAGAAGGTTCAGCTGCCCTGGATCTAAGGTGAAAAGTGTTGAGGGGCAACAGCAGCATCTTCATCCAGGGTCATTTACTCAAGAAATGTTGACTGGGCAGCTAATTTGTCACCAAAACAGGTACGAAGCACCAGATGCCCTGTAGGGGTCTGTTAGTACCTGTTATCCTCGCCCCCCACAGTGAATTATATTTCTGCTGGAGCCAGAGGAGAGTGATTTGAACCCAGAGGACAGAAAAGGTTTCTGTTTTGGAGTGGCTGGGCCATGAGAGGGGTATCAGAGAAAATAGTGAATGACCCCTCACCAGTGTCAACAGGGGTCAGTGGGCTCTTGCTGCTGATATGTGGACAGGTAGGCACTCTAGTGGAGTGAGCTTGAAGCCAGGATCTTGGTGACCCAGTCAGCAGCCCACCATCAGGGGCAGGGAAGACCCCAGGAGTCACTCACCTCTAAGGGTTGGCATGCTGCCCCCACTTGTGATGTGAAATATTTCCATGGTAGAAAGCAGGACCGCAGACTGGAAGTCTCGCTTCTGCTGGCTGGTGACACTGTCTGGAGAAGCCTAGAAACATAGCCCAAGACTGAGATGGAAATCATGGGGACACTATGTCCCTTCACTATCCACATCCCCTGGCCTGGCTGGTGAGTATGGGCTGTTGAGCAGTAGAAACTGTCTTTGTCTGGAATATTGTCCTCTGTTAACCCAGCCTTCTAACCAGAGGTGATGTCCTCATCCAGGGTAAGGAAGCAAATCAGAGGAACCCACAGTCAATAGCCACCTGTCAGATGGCTCAAGAGACCCTGGGATACAGACAGCATGCTATTGCCCCCTAGGGACAAGGTTCCAGCTGAGATCCTTCCTTTCTGCCCATGCCCTGTACTTCCTGCCCTCTTCTGAATGCGCCTTCCATAAATCACTTCCACAAAACCCTTGCCTCACCTATTTATCTACTGTTCTGCCAAGGCCTGAGGTTCACAGGCCCCCATCCCAGGTCACTGCAGTACTAACAATCTCCCCACTGGGCTCCTGGGCTCCTCAGGCTAGGTGCACCCTGCCCTCATGGGCCCTTCCCTTCCAGGCCTGCTCCCACTGAACATAGTCCAGCCCACCTCCAGGAGCACTTCTAGTGGCAGCCAGTGCTTGGAACTGGACACTCCAAGCAGCAGCTCCCTCAGGAGGGCCTGAGTGAACTCCTTCAGCTGTCTCCGGACCGGATGTGACTGGAAAGGAGTCTGGAGACCTTCGGCAATGCTGTTGGCTTCAGTGCCAGCCCCCTGGAAGACAAGAGACATGATGCAGGCTTGGCCCTCCCTGGAGGTCCTTTCCTCTGTCCCACATGCTGGGCCTGGGAAGGATTCTCATCAAGTCTATCTCATGCCTAGAAACATGCTCTGCAGAAGTGTGGGACTGGACTGGGACCAAAATGCTTGTAAGATGCAGTTGTCTGCAGCTGCTTGGGATGTACTTGGAAAGCCACTGAGTCAAAGGTCAACAGTGAGGTCTAAAGCAGTCCAGTGGGAAAGGAGATGCCCAAGCCTGGTGTGGGGTCCAGCTCCTGGCCTGTGCTGTCAGTCAGCCTTCTGTTGGCTCATGCTGTGCTGATGCTGATAGGCAGCAGCACCCTCAGGTGAAAGGACAGAGAGTCTTCCTCACATCTCCCAAGCCCTCCAGCACTCACAGTCTGATTGGAGAAAAATTAGGCAGGGATCATTTCCCCCATATAGCCCAAGAGGAACTGGAGAGTCCAAGAGGCCAAACAACACACCCAAGGACACATGGCCAGAGACTCTTGACTCCTGCCCCATGAACTTTTCGTGTGCCTTCATCTGTTGGCACCTCCCTTTGCTCATTCATAAAATTAATGCAGCCGTTCTTAATTAAGCCATAAAAATGAATTTAATGGCACCTAGGGAGGTGATGACTGCATTAATTAGCTCCGTGCGGCCTTGACTGGAAAGATGCCATATAAATTCACAGCAAATGGAAGGCTTTTGGCCGCCAGCCTGGCAAGGAGGTTCTGTCACATTTTCTGGGCAACAAAGGCCTGGCAGAGCTGCTTTGCTTGAGACAAGGAGATAAGATGAAGGGTACATAGAATTGGAGCAGAAGTACAAGATAGGGCCCTAATGGCCCCCTTGTGTGCTTGGCTGGAGAGATGACTTTGTGCAGGGAAGGTCTTCCTTCCGTCTACTTCCTCCCCCAACAAATACACGTGACTGTCGGGAGGAAGGGCCTTGGGTGAGAATGCATTTGACTGAAAACCCAACGCAGCAGATGTCAATCCTGGCCCCATACACAGTGACTGAGGGGAGCATGGGTTACACTGCTTCACATTCCTAGCCTCCCTATGTAGGATCTTCTTAAAGGACTGCCCTTCTCCCTGCCTGGCCTAGGCCACCCTCACCCTGCATAGGGGTCTCCCTGCTGTAGCCAGCTGGCCTTGTTTCATTCATCATTCATTCATTTTGCACTCTTTTCTAGTGAGTTACTTAAGTTGTCATGAATTCATCAGACCATTTTGGAATACTTCATCCCTTTTTAGAAATCGTCTAGTCTGTATATTTAATCTTTATGTTTAAACTAAATACACTTGCCCCTCAACATCCATGGGGGATTGATTCAGGGACACCATGAAGATATCAAACTTCTCAGACCAGATACCTGAAGCCCTTACACAAAATGGCAGTGTTTGCAGAGAACATGCCCAAATCCTCCCCTGTGTTTTAATCATCTCCACATGAGTCACAGTCCCCAACACATCAATGCTGTGGAAATGGTATATTGTTTAGGAAATGATAATGAGGGGGAAAGTCTATACATGATCTTGATAGACACAAAGGTACAAATGTTTTCTATCTGAAGAGGGTAGAATTCATGGATATAGAAACCATGGATACAGAGGACTGGCTAAACTCTTCAATTGTAGTCAGATGTTTATTTTAAACTGGCCATAATGGAAAGGCTCTTCCACTGGCGAGATGGGTCTCCTGGCCTCCTCTCGGCCCAAGGACACTGAGCACCACTTCATCTCTCTGAATCGCACTAGTTTCTTCTCAACACTGTCTTCAGCAGGGCCTGTTAGGGTTACTCAAAGCACTACGCTCAGGTTGGTGTGCCAGGGGGTTCAGGAAGTGGCTGGGTCTGGGTACTCAATTCACCCAGCTGACCATTTGGCACAAGGCAATGAGTAACTGTTCCCTGCCTAGGTCTGTGTGAGTCTAGGATCATAGATTCTGCTCCATAGCACGGTTTGCCTTTCTAATTCGTCCCTCCAGCTACCATTACAACCTGCAAACAGGCATCACTAGCTCCCTCTCTAGATCTCTGCTTCCTAATCCACCAAGGTAGGGGAGGAAGTGTGATTTCTGCCCTTCTTCCTTCTACCCATGATCCTCTGCACCAGTATCCCCTCTTGCTCTCACCCAGGTCCCCAATGCTCTTGACTTACTTGATCCCACATAGCTCTGACCCATTGGGACCGGCTTTCTGTCTCCAACTCATACATCTTCCCAAAGCCCCCTGCTCTAACCCCTGAGCATGCAAGACTCGGGACTTCATCTTCTAGACCCAAGTGTGTCTTCTGTGCTCCCTCCTCTTGGCTCACCTGGCTTTGAGCTGAGCTTCACAAACCTACTATCTGGTAGAAGACTTAGATCAAGGGGCCTGAAGACAAAAGGGTGTTGAGAACAAAAGGTAGACAAAAGTGTTCCCTGTCAGGCAGGCTCCCTGGCATGGGTTCCTCAGTTCCCATCACCAGTGTGGTATCTATTCCATATAGATTTGAACTTGAGCTACCATCAAATCTCTCATTACTGAGATTTTTAACGACTGAAAAAAAAAATGATGAACCCTCAGAGCTGAAACTGACCTTGAGCTGCATCTCAGTCAAGAAAAGGAAAATTACCCAAGATGTTTATCCAGTGTTCCAGTCAAGTTGCTTAGTATGCATTTTAAATTTGGGAGGTGGGGAGGCACTCAGTCCTTCACCCATGAAGGATGAAGTTCATAGCTTCTCTCCCTGAGGCAGAGCAAGGCACAACATCCTACCTTCTGGGCCTCCAAGGGGAAGGTGATAGTGGCCAAAGTCTGGAGGAAATCTGGGGTTTGCCATGCTGGATCCTGGGGATAGGAGCGGTGTACCAGTCCCAGAAAGTGCAGAATACTGCTGGGGAATGTCCTTTCCCAGGCGCCATCTTCTGAACCTGCTGGGGGCTGAGGATACACTCCGTGAGACATGACATATGACAGCAGACAGCAGAATGGCAGGGAGGGGAGTGAGAGGCTGCTTGAGAGAGACAGAGGAATGGAAAGCTAGGGGACATTCTTTCCAGAGCTTCCCAACATGACATGTTACTAGGAGTCGCCTAAGACGGCAGGATAGCAGTGGCTACTGGTCACAAAATGGGGAGCTTTCATATGCACTGTGGGAACATTATCTAATGGCTTCACACCCATTCCTCCCCTCACCTTCTAACCCTAGGGAGCATGTTTCATTGTTGCTCCTACTTTTCTGGTGGGAAACACAGAGGTCCAGACAGATTCGATCTCTTGACAAAGACCACTCAGTAGGCAAAAATCAAAGTCAGCATGACAGAGAGATCTGCTGTAAAGTCTGCTATCCTCCCATGCTGTCCTTATGCCAATAGACATGGCATGCTGGCTTGGGAAAGAACTTGCCTGTCAGCACTCAGTCCAAGTCTTCCTCAGCCCAGAGTCGATGTCCCCATTATACACTCCGCCTCAACCCACACTAAGGCCTATATTATCTGAGGCTGACTGGGCTTGAGGAACCCTGGCCCTGCCAACCAGCAGTCAGCAATGTGTGGTGTTACGCTGAGTTATCTCCAGTGCCCTATCTGGGCATAGGTTTTCCCCCACACTCTGACCTCTTCCTCCTAGGTCCAGGTCATATATGGCTGAACCTCCACCTGAATCCTGACTGACCCCAGTGCCTTTCTGGAGCCCAGGTCCCTTGACTAGCCTGTTCAGCTGTCTATCTAGAAGTTGACCCATGCCCCAACCAGGACAACCAGCCATTGTTCCTGTGAACAGACACCTAGAACTTCAAATTGATGAGCCTCAACCCTTTCCTGCATAGCCACACCAGCCCAGAGAGTGAATGATACCCAGCCTTGTCCTGTTGACTTACAGGTATACATCAGGCACCCTTTCTTTGAGAGGCCTGTTGTTCAGGTGTAACCTCTCCCACGCAGGGAGTTCTCATTTTCCCACCACCCTGCACTTTAAGTTCCAACTCTGTCAATCAAGGATCATGCTAGGCCTGTTTTAGAAGGTTGCTGTGAGGTCAAAGTGTAGTGCTCTGGTAACCTTCCTAGTGACTGGTACAGGGTGAATGGAGAAGTTAGAAGGTGAGGTCAGATACATAGGACTTGGGCTTTGGAAGGGGAATTTGGATCTTATCTGTCAATTAGCACAGATCCTCTGAATGTCAAGGCATAGTCATGAAACAAAATATGACCCTGACACTGGAATTCTCATGCAAGTTCATGTTGACCTAGCTCACCATTAGTTACTCTTGCTCATGGGCCAAATAGCCTTTCCCCTCACACTTGGCTCCATGTCTAAAATAAGCCCATGTGCCAATTATTTATGAGCCTTCAAGGTCAAAAATCAAAGAGTACCTACTCCAGAAGGTTCTGTGTGCCATGGGTGTAGCTGGTGGCTACCCGTCTTCTCTAAGACAGGTCTCTACCTCATAGGTCTCTCTTGGGCAAGTTCACCTGTCCTGGTGCAAGTGAACGGTTTTTTTTTTTTTTTTTTTTTTTTTTTTTTTTTTTTCAGGGTCTCCCTGTAGCCTCAGGTGGCCTGGAATCCATTATGTAGACCAGGCAAATCTCCCCATGGGGTCCTCTTGGGCAAGGTTCCCTTTCGTGGGGCAAGTGTACGTTTTTTTTTTTTTTTTTTTTTTTTTTGTCTTCTTTGAGACAGGGTCTCCCTGTAGCCACAGCTAGCTGTCTTAGAGCTCACTATGTAGACCAGGCTGGCTTTGAACTCACAGAGATCCACCTGCCCCTCTGCCTCCTGAGTAATGGGATTAAAAGCATGTACCACCATGCCCGGCCACAAGTGAACTTCTTAGAAGGAGAACTCTGCATCCTCATAAATGTCCCCCGGGGAAGAAAACCAAAGACTTAAAGTGGGGAATAGGCATCTCATAGTAAGAGTCCATAAAACTCCTTAGGAACTTTCAGGTAGGGTCCCCATGATGACATTAGTATCTTAGAAGAAGAGAGAGACCTACACTAACACCCTTGCTCTGCCTCAGCATGGGATTCCCTCTACCATGCTATGAGTCAGCAAGCAGTCTCTCACTGCATACCAGGAGCTAAATTAGTATCAAATCCTTGTAAATTACATAGTCACAGGCATTTTGTTATAGGAACAGAGAACAGACTAAGACACCAGTGTTACTGGGAAGCTGCTGGGGAAAGTCAAATTGACCCTTCCAAACTCCGTCCTATTGGATCTGCTTGGTATGTCACATAGGAAATGGCTCTCACCTGGTTCATGGTGGCTTTTAGCATTTCTAGTAGCATCAGAGCACCTTCTGTGCACAGCCCAGCCCTGAGGACTTCTTGCTGGTGGTGATTTTGCAGGAGCCACTGAAGCATAGCATCCAAACTCCCCTGAAGGAAGAGGAAGGACCATATGAAAACCTGTGGCTGCCTACCAAGGTGAGCAGCTTTACCACAGTGCATTGTATTTCCCGGGGCAGGCCCCAGTAGGAAAGGCAAATCAGGGCAAAAGCAGAGTAGGTGACTAGCCCTGATGGACATTCCAGAACCAGGTGGTACATAAGAAACATACACCTCTAAGAAGATGCTAAATTTCAGCAAGTTTCAGCAAGTTTAGTTTTTCAGGGCTAAGGGTACAGTACTGGGGGGCCGCATTTGTTTAGTAAATGTCCTGTGTTCTACCACCAGCACCAGTTAATTAATTAAATTTAGGTAAAACTTTACTTCTTTCGGTCTGATTTCACAAGTACCCAAGTTCAGTGTGTTTTGATACATGAGATTATATAAGACAGGAAGGATTCCCAAGGTTCAGAGAACACAATGAAGAACAGAGTTTGAGCCAGGAGATCTGATGCTGCCCTTTTAATAGCTCAGACAAGCTACTCGGGCTCTTGGTGGTTCAATTTCCTTCTCTATGAAATAAAAACTCACATTATCTACCCCCATGGGATTGTTTAAATATCAAGTGAAATAAAATACATAAGAGTCTGTTATAGGTCTTAGACACTCAGAAGTTAGTTTCCCATAAAACAGAGAGAAATAAAAATTCAGGGTCTCAATGAACTTAACACAGCGTATGCCAAATCTTGGTTTGAAGTAACCTTCTACATACTATTAGTGTCTATCAAACATGGGAATATTCAAGAGACATGAACATTTCAGCTTTCTGCACTTTTTGCCCTTTTAGTTCGGTTCAGTGTAACTTAACTAAAGAACAAGAACTGATTTCCAGCTCTGCTATTTGTCAGGTGCCAAGAAGATGAGTTAAAGGTAAAGTCTGTCCTCAGATGCTCAGTGTCTAAGGCGGCAGCACATCTGCACATAAGGTACAATGAGGCACGAAAGGGGAAAGGTTTAGCCAGCAGGAAGTGGCTCTGGAGCTGAAGGCACTCTCATCAGGAAGGTGATCATAAGGAAAAGGAATACGGACACGTGACAGGTGAGCACATAGCAGTTGGTCTTATTGGGGAGATAACTCAGGGGTTGACAGCAGGAAGGGCGGGTGAGTTGGAGCCAGTTGGAAAGGCAAGTCAGATACCCAAACGGAAGGGTTCTTGATACTGGCTAGGGCTTGAATCTGACCTTGCAAGAATGAATACCCAGAAAGACTTGCGCTGGGTATAAAAGTGGATGGTGACATGCCGCAGTGAGTGTGGGCCCCCTTTGGAGAACTGCCCAAGAAGCAGCAGTTAGTCAAAAGTATGAGGTGAGGAGCAGTTTCTGGTCTAAGTAGGGCAGAGTTTAGCATGTTTATGGTCTACGGGGAAAGTGTCAGTAGACGAGGAGGATTGAGAAGGACAGAGGAAAGAAACGCTGTGTGGGTGAGTCATCCAGGACTGAAGAAATCCAAGCGCAGTTCAAAAAGCCACCTCTCCCAGTGACAATGGAGGAGATGTGGTCAGCAGGGCTGAGGCCTAAGTATGTGGAGGGCAGGGTGGTGAGACAAGGCCAGTCTTAGTATCCTATAATTTCCTGATTGATGCCTAGAAAGAGAAAGATGAGAGTGGTCCACACTGGATGTTCTAAGAGAGACAATGGGAGGCAGGAGCCAAGGAAGTTGCTAGTGCTGACAGGAAAATGAAATTTAGCTAGTGAATGTGGAATGGAAGGGAAGGAAGCAGGTCAGACACAGCCCAGTTGGAAGGAGTGGAGGGATAGATAATTTTAGGAAGTAACCATAATCATACAGAATCAGAAAACCAAGTGTATCCCCCTTCCCCAACAGTGCATCCAGAACCTACTTTGGGCCCATCTGTCAGTTCTGTAAGAGGTGTCTGGAGGAAGAAGGAGGACACGATGAGGTACACTTCTGGAATATGAACATGATAAGCCAGAAAGTCATTCAAGACTCGGAACCCAGGAAGCAGGCAGGGGCTCTGATCAGGCACAACGGGGTGGCTCTTCAGGTTGTCTGTTGATCAAATTGTGGAGACATAAAACCAGGTGAGAACAACTATGGCTACTCAAGGTACTGGGGGGAGCTGACACATGACAGAGTCCCTTGCCATCCAGCACACCACAGAAACACTGGAACAAAACGTGTAGAACACAGCAAAGTGCCCCACAACCATTCTCTTCCTGTTCCTGACATGCTCATCCACCCATCCACTCATTCATTCATGCATCCACCCATTCATCCACCCATTCATCCATTCATCCATCTGTTCATCTACCCATTCATCCTTCTATCCATTTATCTACCCACTCATCCATCCATCCATCCATCCATTCATCCACCCATTCATCCACCCATGCATCCATTCATACATCCATTCATCCACCCATCCACCCATTCATCCATTCATCCACCTATTCATCTATCCATCCACCCATTCATCCATCCATCCATTCAGCAAAACCAGATACAAAATACCAACAGTGCATAAAGCAACTGGGAAACTCTGTATTAGACAGAAGAGCTATCATGCTTCAAAAATATATACAAGACATCAGGCATGTATGAATCTTACAGTGTAGTAGGAAAAGCAAACATTAAGCAATTACTATAAATTAGTGCTTATGAATTGTGATGGCCATTAGAGAAGACAATAATGGAAACAGAGATTCGACCCAGTGTCCTAACTCAGGCAGGTCCCTTCCTATTCTGGGGAAAGTGACGTTTGAACTGGGACCTGAAGGATGGGTCCACATCTTCCAAAAGAGCCTGCCAGGAAGAAGCTGTGTGAGAGCCGCCTAGGGTGTAAACAGACAGGGTTTGAGGAGTGGAAGGCAGCATCCAGGGGCTGATCTGCCATGAGGCTCTGGAGTTCAAGAAGGTAAGGGCTGATCTGGGTGAAGGCCTTGGGGACAAGCTTGACCCCCACTCATACCTAGGACATAATAGTGACTGCTTCCCGGAGACAGCCACATGCTTACCAATCACAATGTCCATGCCTTCGGCACTGCACTGCACCCAGCATCCTGCAGACAGGCCATCTCTGAATCGCCCGCGGAGAGAAGGGTTTGACAAAAAGTGCAGCAGCAACTTCAGTGTCAGCGTAGTGGTGCTGGGATGCAGGTGACCCTGCAGGAGCAGCAGGAACCAGTCTGGTCCCAGGTTCAGAAATACTTGTTCCTTTGACCTAGAAGGACAATGCATGCCATCAGTCATTCCTCGGTCCATGAGCTCAAGGCATGGCCAGAAAAGACAAAGTGCAGCCTTACAAGTCACAGAGGAAATGCAAGTCAGGGAAGTGTTTGGTCAGTACTTAGTGAAGTATGAATTATATTTTAAAGGGATAAGGTAAAATGCTGGCATGATCACTACACAATGGGTGGATTTGTCTGCTAACAGTGCAGAGTTGGCAAGCGCTTCTTAGAGCAATTGGGAACGAAATACGGGTGCAGAAATGTGTGTGGCCTTTAGCAATCCTACTGTGCTACTGTGCACACAGCATAGGAAAAGCCACCCATCTGACTTAATTATCACCATCATAGCTGTATCAAACAGATGATGTTTATTTACGTCTGTCTTCAAACTCTCTAGTCAAACTAATCTAATTGGAAATGTCTAATGGTTAGCCACGATGAGCCATCACTTTCAAAAATGAATTTTAAAATGATGAATTCAGACTTGCAGGAGGGAACTGGATGGCAGGGAGGTCAGACACCAGTCTAGAAAGGACAACAGGCAGTCTAAAGGCTCCAATCTTTGGGGAGTCAGGAAGGGATCCATCTGTGTGGGGCAGAGTTCTCAGTATCAGCTGCCAGACCAGGCATGCTGAGGGCATGTCTGGTGGTCTCAGCCAGTGACAGGAGTGAAAAAACTGCCTTTCTTCTAGTCCTGCCTCCCATGCTCATGAACTAGATGGCTTTGGAAGAGCTCTAAATGTGCTCTGCCATTTTACTTAATGATGGTGTGGATGATGATGTTGATTGTGATGGTCCTATAGATGACAATGGTGATGATGGTGATGATAGTGACAATGATAGTCATGGTGGTGACGGTGACAGTGATGGTGGTGGTGATAATGCTGATGGTGAGAATGGGCTTCTAGAATCTTTGTGGCATCCCAGGTTCATTCTTGGGGCCATAACCCTCTATGGAAAGTACCATTTTCAAGCTCACACTGATGAGCACAGGGAGCTCCTAGAACCTTCCTGGGGCTTTAGAGGAAGAGCTGGGATTCCAATCCTAGACACGTGTTTCAGAGTTCAGGTGTGTAAGCACTGCACTAGATTCCTTCCAAAGAGAAGGAAAAAGAAAAGGTTAGACTTACAGCTAAAGACTCTTTCCATCTCATTATGTTTTGATTCTAAGAATGTATAGAATTATAGGCTGGTAAATGTTTTTGAGGTGTGGGGAGTGCATGTGTGTGCATGTGCAGGGTAGAGGTCAGTGTCAAACGTCTTCCTCCATCACTCTCCAGCTTATCTTTCAAGATGGATCTCTCACTGAACCTGGAGCTCACTGTTCCAGCTAAACTGGTAGACCAGGGAGGTCCTGATATCCATCTGTCTCCACCCCTAACACTGGGGTTTATAGAGGCACTCCGGCACTCTGCCATGTCCAACTTTTATGTCAACACTGAAGATTCAAACTCAGGTCCTCATGCTTACACAGAAAATACTTTACCCACTGAACCATCTTTGCAGTCCCAAGTGGTAACTTATTAGCCACTATTTGCACATTCCTTTGCTGGGAGTACTCTCCATCACATCACCAAACACACATAAGTACTGACCCATAAACTCAGAGAGAGCAAGGCCTTGGGATGACTAGCCCAGCGTTGTATCCTAGGATCCAGGAACAGTGGCTGGTATACAGTAGGTGCTCAACTAATAGGTGTTGAATGAGAACTCTAGAGTTGCCGGCAGGCAATGGGGAGACTAAGGGAATCAGCTTTGTGATTACATATTATTCTGAAATTTAATTGAAGGCAGATGCTTGTTTTTTCCACGTTGGAAAAATAACTAAAGCATTAACAGTGAACAGTAGATCTGGCAAGAATTCTCCTTGATAGATGCTATTTAGGCTAACCATTTCTCCATCTACCGTCTGCCAAGCACGGGACATCAAAGTCAGCAGTTGTCACAAACTGCCAAAGCAGCAACAATTACATGACAGCAATGATGACAAAAAGAATTGATTGAAATGACACCAAGTGTGTTTCTAGTTCTCTCTGCCTGTTGAACATTTGCATCAGGCTATCTTAGGGCAAGGTCTGGTTTATTGGGTGGCGATAATATAATTTTCATCTGACTAGTTCAGGACACATACTGTAGAAAACAGACTCAGAGATGCTCAACTTTTCATTAAGAAATGGTTTTAATGCTGCTCCCTGTATGAGGCAGCCCCATGCCAAATCACTCTTCCGGGATCTACTCACTCAGAGGACAGATGAAGTTGGGGGGAAGATATTACATTGAGCAGCATCTCCAGCAACTGGTTTCTGAGCCAGATTGTCTTTCCAGATGTTTGGCTTCCAGCTACAAAAAAGAAAATTCAGATTTGAGAGAAAACTGATGCAAAGAGACATAATATTTGCCGCAGCAAGCAATCAGATTAATGAAACGCTAACCTACCCAGGAATGAGGCCCAGATAGGACTCAAAATTTTGGCATTCAAATCTAGACTTCGATGCAATGCTTAAAAGGAATTTCAGGGCCTGTAATTACCTTTAACTGGAGGTAGCTTCAGTGTTGTTTACCCTTGAAAAAAAATCTTTGAAATGAAGTCAACATTATCTTTCAGTGAGAAGCAGCTCGACTCCAAATGTTAGTAAAACCCCAAAGGACATGCTAACAATGCTCTAGCATTGAAATTTTTTAAAAAATTGATAGAAGTTTCGGGGGGGGCTGAAGAAATGGCTTGGTGGTTGAGAGCACTGGCTGCTCTTACAGAGGACCAAGGTTTGGTTCTCAGCACCCACACGGGTCCTGTTCCTAACTCCAGGTCTATGGAATCCGATGCCCTTTTTTGGCCTCTGCAAGCATTGCACACACATGGTACGCTTACACACATGCAGGCAAAACACTCATGCATTAAAAAATGTTTTTGTTTCACAATGAAATCCATGTGAGAAGGCTGACAAAATATACTTATTCTTAACCTATTGTTCATTCATTCATTCTCTTTTTCTTTAATTTGATTTTTTGAGAATTTCATATGTGAATATTGCCCTTGCATTATTTCCATCCCTCCCACTCTCTCACCAGCTCCTCCCAGGTCCCCCTATCCCCTTGCAGTTTCTTGTCCTCTTTGTTGATTATTACTGTTACATATACAATACACATATATTACATATACATATATATGAGTTCATTAAGTGGTGCTTGTTTGTACTTGTGTTTAGGGCTGTCCATTTGGGATTAGGTAACTTCCCAGGGAGCTAGTCTCTGGTCCTCCCTCATTCATTCTTTTGCTTTCTGTCATTTTGTAAATAATTCAGGGAACACATCCCACAGTACAGAAGCTTGGAGAGGCAGAGTCACATTTTTCCCTGTTTCTCCCTGTTCCTTCCCTTCTCTCGTTGAGGTCCTAAGCTCATTATGCTTTTAGCTTTGTCATTTGTGCAACAGAAATAGTATTCCCCATTTTTGAGGTTTGATCTAATCTAGGCTGAGCAATGTTGCCCCAGAGACCCTTTTGTTTCATATCTGCCCTGCCTCTAGCTTCTGTTTCGTATCTGACCTGCCCCTAGCTTCATGTGATTACCAAACATTTGGGGTGTGGCTAGCGTGAAAATTTGAATTTTTTTTGCATTTAATTTTATCTTTAAAATTTTTTAAATTTTATTTTATATGTATCAGTGTATTGCCTGCATGTGTGTAAGTGCACCCATGTTGTGCAATGCCTGCAGAGGTCAGAAGTGGGCATTGGATCCCCTGGAACTTAGTCGCGTAAGAGCATTCAGTGCTCTTAACCACTGAGCCATTTCTCCGCCCCACATTTAATTTTTATTAGTTAAGTTTACTATATTATTTTGTGTGTGTTTGGTATATGTGCATGTGCATACATGCACATGTGTTCACATGTGGGCAGAGGCCTGAGGTCAGTGTTAGGCGTCTTCTACTGTTCTGCACCTTATCTGTTGAGACAGGGTCTCTGAGTGAAGCTGGAGCACAGTGATTCTGCTAAGCTGGCTGACCCCTGAGCCCTGCTCTGCTCCCCAGCACTGGGATTACAGGTACATGCTGCATTGCTGTTTGACTTTTCATACGGGTGCTGGAGATCCAAACTCAGGTTCTTATGCTTGCATGGTAAGTATGTTACTAACCAAGCCATCTCCCCATCCCTAATTAAAATGTAGATTGAAATGCCCATGTGTGGCTACAAGCTCCCATCTTAGGCAATGCAGATCTAGAGAGCCTAGGACCAACCAGCTCTGGTTGTTGCTCCATGCCAGTGATCATCCTAGCGAGGGGAGGCTAAATGAGACAGAACAGAGATAGAAGAGTGACTCAAAGAGACACACCACACATCTATGTATTACCAGAAGCCCTTGGGCTTCAGAAGCAAGGCTTAGTGGAACTGGACATGCCTAGTCCTAGTAGAGGAGACCAGGGATGGAGTAGGTAGGGGTGGCATTTCTAGAGAGACAGTATCCACAGCGTGAACAGAGGCTATGCCCTCACACATTGGAATCTGAGCATTTCAGAATGTTGGGTTGGAGCTCATTGAGATTATTGGGGGAAAATAGAGGTTCAGCCAGGACAGGAGGCAGGGGCTGTCATATGAAGGACCACACATGCAGGGAAATGATTGTCCTGAAGGCCTTGGAAATCACTCCAGGTTTTGAAACAGCAATATATGATTTAATGTGAGGCATAACTTGAATTATAAACTATAGTCCCTGCACCCACTATTTGGCCATCACAGCTGCAAGGGTCTCCTTTCCTTTTCCCATAGCCCTTCCCCTGTGAAATGATCCCCAATGTGTGGCTCAGGAGGCCATGAGGTTCATCCTGATGATTCTGGAATCTGGGAAAGGTGCTCTCACCTGGCATAGGCGAGTCCTGGGCTCCATCCACGCAGATCTGCCTCTCATTCGCTGATGAAGGCTTGAGTGTGTACATGACAAACAGTCCGACCCTGGGTATAGGAGGGTGAGAGGGACACACTAGGCAGCTGGCTCAGCTGTGCCTGATGAGCCTGTGTCGGTGTTTTCTACATGATCCACTCAAGGTTTCTAGTGATGGTCTGAGGGGAGTTGTGCTGTGCTGTGATCAGTATAATGTTTCTAGAGACTTCTTAAGCTGGTCAGGATTCATCAAAGAGGTTAACTCTGGTTCTTTCAGATCAACATTTCAGATAGGGGTGAAGAAAGCCAAATGTGGGACCAGCTGGCTGTCCTGAGGGAAATCTGCAAGAGGCAGGCACAGTGGGCTGTTGCTGTTAAGGATGGCTGTGCTCATGGTGGCCTTGAATTCTTAAGCTTGGTGGGGTTATCCAAGCACTGAGACTGAGAAATATGCCTTCTTCTATCTAGAATCAGACAAACCCACTCTTGTTCCATCACTCACCCCTGACTAGAAACCTTGTCAACATTCCAAATTATGTTAGGTATGGCAAGAGAAGGCGAACTGGGCCTATGCTTCCTTCTGAAATAGTTCCTGGCCCCGCCCTCTCTCTAGGGAGCTTGTTGAGGTACCTGAGTAAGTCCTGAATGTTGAAGTGGCCCTTCAGCTGACAGCCCAGGATGGAAATGATGGTGGGAACCTTGGAGGAAGCCAGACTTGGCTCATTGAAGAGGAAGATTAGCTTGGGTATAAGCTGTGCCTGGTGAGCAACTCCAGAATTCCTGGGTCCTTCCCTAGTAAGCCCATGGAAAAGGCAGTAAAAGCTTTTACTGGAATGAACCAAATTCTCTGTGTTTCTGCTAAAAAGGATTTCCAAGCTAGGCTTATACCATAACCCTCTGACTCCAACACAGTCTTGGCAATTTGTCAAGATGCCATCAGACACCCATCTGGTATGTCTGCCAAGTGCCAGTCACTAGAGCATGCGCTGATCATCCCTTCCAACCCCGGAAACCGCCTTCAAAGACAAATCCAATTATTGACTTGAATTCCAAGCCTCAGGGAGAACTAATGTTGGCCTCAAAACACCCAGAACAAAGACAGCAGACATACATGTGACCCGGGAGCACTTCCCAGCAAGCGGCAGAAGCAGGGGCCCGGCCTGCAGAGCCAGTCTGCTGCGATCTTCCTGCCCTCCCCAAACCACAAAGTGGATAAGCATCACAGCAAAGCAGAGAGAGGCAGAATTCAAGTGCCCACACCTCCTCCTCAGGATAATCGCAATCTTATTTCCAGTAAGTTCTACTCCTCCAAAGCAAAAAGCTCCAAAGGTAATGTCTGCTAGACAACGACAGGTACAGAAAGTGGAAAATGGGGGTGGGAAGGTAGGTAGACTAGAGTAGAATCATGTCTTTCAAACTCTCATTGGCATCAGCACATTGAATTCTACCAACTTCCACATCCCATACATAAATGGGGCATATGCTGGGTGACAAACCACAGAACTGTGTAACAGGAAAGACCCACACCCTTCCACCCACATCAGAGCTGCCTTGGGTCTTTTTCCTCATCACCACACTGAGCAGAGTGTTTTTCCAAATTCTTTCTTCACAAGACTTAGTCTTAATGTTCTCTGACTTTCCAATATTAAAGGGCTTGCAGGAGAATGGATTTGTAATAGTCGATAATAGGAGCCTGAATGAAAAATCATTTACAAATACACTCAAAACACCTAAGATACTATTGATTGCTAGCATAGAAGGCAAGAGGGATGGCCCAAAGCTTCATTTCCTCCCGTCTCTCTTTATAACCCTTGGTGTGCTTAGAGTGACCTCTCATTAGAGCCTTTCATCCTCCGGAGAGCTGAAACTATTGACTATGGGATCACATTGGACCAGTAGGACTCAACCTCATCCTAGGATTATGGAGTAGAGCCCGTGGAGGGTGTCCAGCTAAGAATAGGCTCCAAGGTACTGCCCTACAACCACCTGATTGCCACAGAAGGAGGCCTGTCCAAGCTGAACAGCCCAGGAAGAAGCAAGACAGAGGCGATCAGAGTGCAACACTCACTAGACATTGATGTGGTACCCCCCTCCAGCCTCCATGATCAGTGCTCTTCACTCGAATGTGAATAATTTCCTAAACTGCCTTCCCCCAGCCCCTCATCTTCTCTCTCTTCTCCTCCATGCCTTCTTCCCTTTCTTCCTTTCTTATACTGTTTTGGGGGTTATATCTGTCATGCATAAACCTTGCTTGCTGGGAAGTGCTCCTGGGTCACATGTACGTCTGCTGTCTTGTTCTGGGATTGGTTCAAGGTCACTTGGAGAAGCCAACTAAGGGAGACAACGGACGGAAACAGCATGGCTCCCAGACCACACTTAACACTCATTGAACCCTGATTTCCAAAAATTCATGCTAGTCCCTGGGACTACAGAGGCCTCAGATTCCTCAGCCTCTGCCTTCTCAAGGTCCAACTCTATTAGAGGAGAGAGAGCTGTCCCACCTGTCCAGGGGTACCCAGCTGAGGACCCAGCATTCTGGTGGAGGATGGCATGGTTGCTGAGCCACTGATCATCTTGCCTGTCCCCTTGGCCCCTATTCTTTGCATGAAGACATTAGTTCTAATCCTAGGGCTACTGAAACCCAGCCAACCTTTGTGACTGAAGGATCTCCAGGAGATGGGAAAAGAGAGCAAGCTCCAGGTTGTCTACAGTGTTCATCCAAAGCTGGAAGACAGAACAGATGTGGGTTGAGACCAAAGCATGGGTGCATCAGGCAGCCTAAGACACTGGGCATGCTGGGTCTGAGACTAGGACTACCAACACGATTGCCTGCTCTGGAGTCAGGCCAGCTGCCTTGACACCTGGCCGGCACAGAGGGCATCTCTAAGGGGACACTCAAACATATCATCTCCGAAGCTGCCTGGTGCCTCACTGTGGGTCCAGATTCTGTCCAAGGACACTCATATGAACCTCAGGACAGCTTGCATGCTTGGGTATTTGCAAACATGTTCTCTACCTGGCAGGGCCTTTCCCCATTGGACTTTGCAGACATGGTCCCCAAAGCAGCACTGGCCTCTACTCCCAAGAGGACTTGTGTCCACTTCTCTGTGGCACTGGTGGCTCTGTAGTATCCCCTTGGCCATGCCCTTGGCCCTTCTGGCAGTGGGGCTGGGCTGAGTCCTGGACATCACAGCGTCTCCAGGACTAGCCCAGTGGACACTCAGTAAACACTGCTGAATCATAGATGGGTTGATCCATCCAGAGAAGGTTTTCTGATCCTCCTATTTGTCCTGAGCGTCCCCACCCACACCTGATAAGTCATTCCCTAAAGGATCACTGGGAAAAGCAAAGCACTATCCAAAGGATTTGGGATGATTTTGTTTAATCTTTATGTGTAGATGGTACTTCACAGCTTTAAAATCCCCTCCCAGATGCTTTCGGATTTAACTAACCCCTCTGACAGTTTTCAAGGAACAAATGATTGTCTCTGTGTCACAAATTATCATAATGGATCAGCATATAGTGGCACATGCCTGTAATCCCAGCACTGAGACAGGAGGACCTTGAGCTCAAGGCCAGTCTGGGCTATAGAGCAAGACTGTCACTCAAAAGCAAAGAATAAAGGGACTCAGAGAAGTCAAGGGCCATACATGCTGGAGGTGGCAGGGTTAAACTATAAACCTAGGCCTTGGAGCCCCAACGCTCTTTTGATTTCCCACCTACAATCATGATCATGAAAAAAGTTGAAAGCCCAGGCTTCCTTATTGCATTTTATTCTCTCACATATAAATAAATATTCCCAAAGGCCTCAGAGTCGCTCTTCAATTTACCTCAAAATTGCAGAGAACATGCTGGAAGATACCCATGTTAGTAACAGCAGATGGTCTGAAACCCAGCTCTGCAGTGCCAGCCACAGAGAGGATAAGCTGGAAAATCCGATGGTTTAGGAGGGATGTCTTCTTCTCCAGGAGAAAGGCCAGTATCTGGAAAGGTAAGACACAAAGGTGGGTCCCTGAGTGCATCACTGGGCCTCTTTCTCCTGTAACTACTAGTTTCCATAGCGCAGGCTCAGCACAGGCCATACCCCCTGCTCTCTGGCTGCTGTCTCTTCATCCCACATTCTCTAAGACACACCTGCACCACTCTCTGTGGCACCCTCCCGGCCTTTCTGTGCTTTTGAGGTGGGACTTCTCACTGGGACTTCCCACTTCTCCCTGACTCTCATCCCTCGCTTCTATTGCTCTTTTTCATCTCTCACTGGGTCCTTACATGCATCACTATGTCTTCTCATCAATGCTGTGGTATTGTCAGGAAGCCATCCTGTGCCCATGAGCCCAGGTGCACACAGCTGGGTCGTTCTGTTATGCCAGAAGGCTAGCAAGGTGTAGCATCCACTCCAGAACAGAGGCACTGGAATCCCAACAAGGTACTTGTTGGTGAAAATCCATCTCAGAGAGGATGAAGAGGCATCCCTGCAAGCCTTGCATTCCTCATGATCTTGGTCACTGAAAAACCAAGCTGTCCAGCCATCCATCAGCTGACATCTGGGTCCTCATCCATCCTTCCGGGACTCAGCTAGCCTTGTGCACAACTCAGTCCCCTACGTCTGGTTCTGACAAAATCTACTCTCTGTCCCTGTCCTTCCAGACACTCCTGTTGCTCTTTCAAAATGTCCTTAGAAAGCCTTACTTGCCATAAGCAAACAAGTAGTATCTTTTCATTCTGTTTTGGCCACTTTTCTGATGTATTTGTAATCTGACCTCCTTTTTTCCCCCACTAAGATGGAAAGTATATTGAGAAATTCTGTCTGTGTGTTCTAATCCTGCTCCCTGTGGTTCATCGTATAGTCGCCATCCAACCGGGAAAGCAGTTACCGGAGGGCAGTATGTGCACCCCAGCCTATCAAGTGTAGATGGTCATAGCAACTACAGTGAACACACCCATAGCAACTTCCCGGAGTGATTACTTGTGATAGCTCAAATAGGAAATATTCCCCAGAGGCTCAGGTATTCGAACATTTGGTAGCCAGTTGGTGTCACTGTTTGGGGGACGTTATGGATTATTTAGGGCATGATGCCTCACTGGAGGGCATATGGCATTAGGGGTGGGCTTTGGGAGTTTATAGCCTCACCCCACTTCAGTTTGCTCTCTGCTTCCTGCCTGTGATTGAAGATGTGATCACTCACCTTCCTGTTCCAGCCTCCTGCTACCAGGAAGGTGGTGCCCCCCCCCCACCATTATGGACTCTCCTTTTGGAATCCTTAGCCAAAATAAACTCTTTCTTAGGTTGCATTTGGTCATGGTGTTTTACCACAGCAACAAAATACAAGTAACAAATACAAAGTAACAAACATAGCACTCTTCTAAGCTCTTAATATGTATTAATATGTATAACCATCCCAATCTACACAGTAGATACTATTATTCCCATTTTACACATGAGGGAACTGGGGCACAAGGGGATTAAGGACTGAAAGCAGCTAATATTTACTAAGCACTGACTCCAGGTCAATTGCAATTCTAAACCCTTCATTTGTATGAAATCTTCTAATCCTCATCACAGGCCAAGAGTCACAAGGGGTAACAGTACCAATCTTACAGATGGGGAAACTGAGGCAGAGAAGGTAAATAACTCTTAAAGGTTACTAACAAGGTAGAGGACAAGGCAGGATTTCAAGTGGGTCTGGTTCTACTGTCTAGGCTGTTAGCCACTGTGAAGGATGCAGAATGAGGCAATCCTAGATGATTTTGGAATCATCAGGGAGAGTGTCACAGTAGAGACAGATGAGCAACTCCAGCTCAGACAAAGCTCCTCCCAGCTGTCTGTCACCAGACCCTCCTCTACTGTGACCACACAGGCCTCAGCACTCTGTCAGCAGATGGCTGGGCAACCTGGGTTTTGTATGGACAACATCTTAAGGGTTGCAAGACTTTCTGGGCTGTTCTTTTCTAGAAGTCACTGTTGACCTGAGATAATGTCACTGGGGCAAGGGAGGTTCATTCTAGGGTTCACAGCTCTTCAGGGAGCTGTAGGGGCAGCTGAATTACCTGGTATCCACAGATGTGCTGCATCAGGCGGTCACACATGGCATTGCTGGTCAGCACCGAGTGAAGGACTTTCATAGCTGCATACATGGTGTTGTCGTCTGTTGCCAAGGAGATGAGGCCCAGGAGAATGGCAGGCCCTCCAATGAAGTCCAGACTGCTGGCAGCAGGGCTGGAGTGGAACACTCTAACCCCTGAGGAGGGCGAAGAGGACACATCACCAGTAAGTCACAGTCGCACTGCAATGCAGGATCACCTGGCAGCTGCCTGAGTTTCTGTCCATGTACTGCCAGAGAGGCCCATATACTGGGATAGACTGGGAGAAGTGGGAATTCTGGAAGTCTAGGCAGCCTGTCTGTCATCAGGCAAGAACAGCCCAGGTTCTCAGTCTGGCACCATCTTCCTTGAATTCAGAGCACCCTGAACTGAGCACAGTTGAGCCAGATGCCCTCTAGGCCTCAGTTGCCTGTTTTTTTCCAATAGCCTCTGAGTCCTGCCTGCCCTCTGGAGTCTGCTGGACTGGACCTCCTCACCAGCTCACTGCAGGGCTCTTGCCCCATTGCATGGTGACCGGCAGTCACTGTCTCTAATTTTCACTCAGACATGCACAACTATGGCTCCTGCTCACAGGCTGAACAGTGCTTTAGAGTGAGGCTCCTGAGGTGCACAGGTGCTGGTATGGTCGGTAGTTGAGCTCACCACAGTCAGGTTCAGCAAGCTGAGGTGATCTGCTCTGTCTTTGGCTACTCTCTGACTGGGCTTGTTCCCAACTCTGGCCTTCCCCACCCCACTTTCCCAATATACTTCATCCTGTTCCCTACCCCTAGGGCTCTAGGATGTATAAGCTTTCTTTACCAAAGATAAGTAAAGTCCACAGTCTGACCTACCTAACTGGCCCACAGAAACAGCACCAGGGGTCCGAAGAAACCCTGAGAGGTGGCCGGCACAGTTTCTCATCAAGAACACAGGTGTGGCATTGTCACGGGAAGAAATGTTCATCTAGAGAAAGTGGCAAGTTAGTGCTCCAACCCCTCAGGAAAGAAGGAGTGTTGTCTATGAGCTCCTAGAGGACAGGCACCCCAAGATGCATAGGTGATGCTCCACAAGCAATGATTGGTGGATATGTGACACTTGAACCAATGTTGAGGGGCTGAAGCCAAAACGTGGGGTCCGGTACTGCTCCCAGGCTGTGGTCTAATTGCAAGTGGACCAGCTTTAATCACTCAGCTTGCATATCCCACTTGCTTATAAAGAAAAGATCATAAGAATAGGACAGACCTAAGGACACAGTAGGTGAGACAGTTCCACTCAGGCAAGGGCTGCCATGCTCTCAGTCCAGGCTGAACAAAGCCCAGCTTCTACTACTGATTCCACAGGGTGAGGACAGGAATCTGTCCTCCCCCACCAGGAAAGACAGCAAGACACAACTTTGGTGCCCACCAGAGCCTAGCTCCTGACCTCCCATCCCTGTTCTAGGCCCTATGTGCAAGGAGAATGAAGAGAAATCAGCCAAGATTTTTCAACACTGAAAGCAAGAGAGACCTTCCTGTGGGAATTAGGAAACAGGACATCTCATCGCATCTTTCTTTACACATTCATTTGCCTTTTGTTCTGTAGGTTTACTTTAAAATAATCACAGCAGGGGCTGGAGAGATGGCTCAGTAATTAGGACCATTGATTGCTCTTGCAGAGAACCTGGGTTCAAATTCTAGCACCCACATGGTGGCGAACAACAGTCTTTAACTCCAGTTCCAGGGGATCTGATACCCTCTTTTGACCTACACAGGCATTGCACGACATGGGTGCACTTATATACATTCAGGCAATACACTCGTGCACATAAAATAATCATAAAAAATAAACAAAATATTTTTAAAAAAGAACAAAAAAGTCACAGCAACTCCAAAACCCTTTGTACAGAGTTGGGGGAGCAGTGGTATCCAAAGGGAATATCAAAATGTTTCCAGCATCGCAATAATACTGAAAATATCCCAGGCTGTTTTCTAGGAAGACCATACACTTCCATCTCTAAGTAACTTTAAAGAAAAAGTTTAGCCCTGTGGTGCTAGTGGGCGTGGAAGCATAAGGTACCTTAACAGATGACGTGAGAAGTATGCATGTGTGTATCTAGCCATCCACCAGTGGGCAACATGACTTAGTTACTGCAGCCCTGTGAGATGAAGAAAGCTACACAATGAAGGTGGGCGAGGGAAAGCAAGGGGTGCAGGAGGCGTACCTCCTTGGCGATGAGGCGGCTGTCCACCTCATTGTAGATGCTTCTGATGTTTGCTACACTGGTGGTGGAAGAGCTGGATACATGTAGACTGAAAGAAACCCTTTCCTCTGCGATGAGGGGCTTGGCTTCATCATCTGGGTCTTCTCCTATAGCAACAGATCTTCAATCAGTTCTAGCCTCCCTTTACAAAGGAGATTCATCCTCAGACAAGTAAATACCTACTGCCACTCAGCAAAGCAAACTTTGGAAGGATGTCTGTATGCTGTTACTGCTATGTGTTTGCACGTCATAACTTTTTCCCTGTGCTTCTCTGATGCTTACATAAAAATAGGATGATCTCCCAAGATCGATGCTTCTAGAAAATAGAGTTGTTTCTGGTGTGAAACTGCTACAGTTGAAAACATCTGTCAAATCTATAACTTTGTTTTCCAAAACCAAGCTGATCAGTGACTTTTTCTAAAAGGTGGGGCAAAGAGACCTGTGATTTTCAGAGAGCTGCACAGCTACCATAAACATCCCACTTGGAATTAGCACTCTGGTCCCCAAGTGGCTGGAAGCCAACACACTAATAAAGCACAATGTGAATACAGAGTCAGTGAAACTTCGGCTCCAGACCTGACCTGGTCCCATTGCTCTGGTCAATGCCATTTGCCACAGGAAATGAAGTTCACACAAGACCTGGGTCTAGAGACCAAAGCACTCAGCAGCACTCCGTCGTTCTTCACCACACACAAGGCCTTCAAATACAGATGCATTTATCAATTCTTCCCAGATGGGAACTGACCCCCTGGACCTGGCAGAGCTCAGAGAGCAAGCTCCTTGCTTGAACAGCCAACAATCAATAAAGAAAATGGGGATGTTCTGTCTGCCTGTTTAATAATTGAAGACAACAGTATACTTTAGTTAAAAAGCTTCTTCATTAAAAGGAACGTAACTTATTTATCTCATTCTCCTCTCTCTTTCTTCGCTGATGGTATTGCTCAGTCTCCCTCCTCCATTATGTGCTTTGGAGTGGAAACCTAAAGGATATTGTCATTTCCTTTTCTGTGACAGTTTCTCTTGTGTTGTAAATATATAATGATCCAATTGCAAAGGCCTTCCTTGATGATTGACCTGTGCCGAGTTCATTCTTTATAAATATGTTATAAATAACTGGATGTCCATTTAAAAACAAATATCAGCAAGAACGTTATAAATCAAAACACTCCATACCTTGAGTATACACAGCCTGAAAGTTACCGCAGTATCGTGGGCCAAGTTTGATAATAAGTGCTAGAGTATCCACGGATATGTCTTCTTCAAAGAGGTATGCAGGGCCAAGACGCCAGGTTAATGACGACTTTTGTTTCCAGATTCTAGGAGTCCCAATATATCCATAAACATCCACAAAAGAGGCTGGATCCATTGAAAGGAAAGGCCCAGGTAAGGCCTGAATATACAACATCTGTTATAACAAAAAAGATAATAATAATAATAAAGAAGACAAGAAATTGTGAGGGAGTGGGGGGGCATGGGAGGATCTGGAGGGGGAGTGGAGGGGTGGAAATAATGCAAAGACAGCACTAATGTATGAAGTTCTCAAAATAAATATAACAAACGTCATATTTAAAAAAATAAACAAGGATAGCACAAGGAAGCCGTGCTTTACCTCAGAATTAAACAAATGAATACATAGCATCATGGATCTCATTCTAATATCAAAATAAAACTTTCTTTTATCTAAAAATCAGATAGTTCTCAAATCTGAGAAGAGTACAACAGAATAACCCAGGAATTGCAGAGGGGAGTGAAGCATCGATGTCACTTTGGAAACAGATGTGACAAGAAATATTTTTAAAGCACAGTAGCCCAGCTTCCCTGGCCCACTAATTCCACTGAGAACTTAAATGCCCGTTATTAGGACATTAATAAAGTTTCATGCACCTAAATAATTACAGCTACATGGCTTAGAAAAGAAGAAATAAAAGTGTCTCTCTTTGCAGATAACATGTTCATGACGACATTTTAAATTAATTCATTAATTTTTATTTTATGTGTATGAGCGTCTTGGCTGCATGCAAGGACACTCATATGTACAATGGCCATAGAGTCCAGAAGAAGGGATTGGCTCCCCCAAAACTGGTGTCTTTGCACAAGATCAATCTGAAATTGATACAGAAGGAATAGGTTCTGATAGCTTAAAATAGCTTAAAGCATTTTGGAAAAAGAAGAATTTAAGTAAGAGGAGTTACATACTCAATAAGTCTCAAGATGCAGCAATTACCTTAAGACAATGTCATACAGGTAGAATGACAGTTGTAGATGGATGGAATAGGACACCAAACCCAAGCACAAACCCATACAAACATATCCAAGTAATACTTAGGCAAGGCGCAAAAGCAAGCTGGGGTTGGGGGGCAACGGTCTTTCAACAAATGACGCTAAAGAAAGTGCACATCCACGTGGGCAGGAACGCAGTGGACTTCAACCCAAACACCTGACCTTGTACAAAGATAAGCTCACTGAATAGGCCTCCTTTCTCCAACCCTACCTCAAAACACCATGGCTTCTTCTCTTCCTCTTGTCCCTCTCCCTCTTCTCAGTAGCTGCCAAGATTTACAGCCTGTCTGCTCTTGTGGTTTCAATGTCAAACTCAGGTTAAATGGTCCTCAAGCTTAAAGAAAAACCCGACTCTCAACTGATCATAAATTCATACGTAAAATGTAAAACATTTTAAAAATTAAAAGAAAAGCTTCAGGTTCTTATAAAAACAAAAATTTCTTAGATTTAATACCAAAATACAAGCCATAAAAGGGAAATCAATGAATTATACTTTAAATACCCTAAAAAGTTTTATTATTAAAAACTATAGGTTAAAAATTATTTTCAAATATACACAAGTGAATGTCATAAAAACAATACTTTAAAAAATGTTAAAACTCAACAGTAAAAAAGCAAACAGTTACCGGGCGTGGTGGCATACGCCTCTAATCCTAGCACTCGGGAGACAGAGGCAGGCGGATCTCTGTGAGTTCAAGGCCAGCCTGGTCTATGGCTCTCAAAAAGACAAAAAAAAATTAGAAAATAGCCAGAAGACATGAGTGGACATCACAAAAGAAGACGTTCTGATGATACCTAGGTCAGCTTCATGAACCAATGGAGACATACAACTGCAAAATGAAGACAGATCATTACACAGTCAGGATGGATAATGCAGAAAGTAACAAGGCCAAATGCAGAGAAGCTGGGTCAATCATCCATTGCTGGTCAGTGTAAATGGTACACTCTGGAAAACAACAGTCGCAAAGAATACTATAGAGTGATTTAAAGGAATGAACTATTGATATATGTAACAACTTGGTTGGAATCCCTAAAAAAATCAAGTATTATATGATCCCATATACAGAATCCTTGAAATTACAAAATTTTAGATTATTTGTTGCCAAGCATAGGGACAGGGATGGGAGAGAAGAGACATGGATGGGAAGTGGGTATGGTTACAAAACCGCAGCATAAAAGATCCTCATGGAGATGCAATTTCTTGTATCTTCATAATGATCATGGAGAAATAACCTGCATATATAGCACTATTGTGTAGAACTAAAGACACACCACACATATTGTGCTGGACAGCTTTAGTGTCAACTTGACACACCTAGGTTGAGGGAGCCTCAATTGGGGAATTGCCTCCATTGGACTGGCCTGTGGCCATGTCTGTGGGGCATTTTCTTGATTGTCGAGTGATGTGGGAGGGCCCAGCCCACTGTGGGTAGTGCCATGCCTGGGCAGGTGGGCCCGTGTTGGATAAGGGGCCAGGGGAGCAAGCCAGTAAGCAGTAATCCTCCATGGCCTGTGCTCCAACTCCTGCCTCCTGGTTTCTGCCCTGAGTTCCTACCTTGGGCTCCCTGATGAACTGAGACCTGGCAGATATAAGACAAATAAACCCTTTCCTCCCCAAGTTGGTAGTGGTCAAGTGTTTTGTCACAGGAATGAAGAAACAAACTAGGACACATATACACACACATATACCACACATCCACAATACACACACATGCATACCTTACATGTACATATGCAGACACACCACACATACATGTATATACACACATGCATACACAATCAGACACATGCACACACATGCATGTATGACACATATACATACACACCACATACACATACACACACAAAGACACACACAGACATACATGAAAATACCACATGTATACACACATACATACACCACACTTACCGTGTACACATACTTACACACCATACATATGCATACACACCATATACACACATATATACACACATACACACACAAATACATACCACACACACCTACATACACAGACACACCACATGTACCTGCACATACACATACAAACATATGCACCAGACCTATACATACACATAGAAGCATAAACACACCACATACAATACACATACATATACCAGACATATCACACATACATACACATTTGCACACAAAGTATGCACATACACAGTCAATCAGACACATACATGCACCACACATGTACACACACACACACACACACACACACACACACAAGTGCCAATCAAACTTAGGAAAAGGAAGACCTCGACAGCTCCTATCAGGGCATCATCTGGCTCTGAAACTGCTCTACAGTTTTACGAGCTCTCTCCACTGAGGAAAGCCCGACAGGGGCACTCTAGAGTTCTACAGCCTCACCGACCTCACCACTGAAGAAAGTGGGGCAGGCACAGTCTGGATTTCCAGTGCTTCTTACAGCTACAGCGATTCCACGATTACCCCAATAGCAAAACAGTAACAAAATAATTGTAACAAAAGACTAGTAGCCAATGGATCCTCACCAATTTTAAAGCAAAAATTTCAGACCCCATATGGATAATTTTTTTAAACTGTGGGTTATTAAATGAATTATGTGTGTGATATACAAAGGTTTTTCTACAATTAGGAAACCCTATCTTTTAAAAAGCAGAAAAAGAGCCGGGCATGGTGGCGCACGCCTTTAATCCCAGCACTCGAGAGGCAGAGGCAGGCAGATCTCTGAGTTCAAGGCCAGCCTGGTCTACATAGTGAGTTCCAGGACAGCTGGGGCTACAGGGAGACCCTGTCTCAAAAAGACCAAAAAAAAAAAAACCTAAAAGGAACTGCAAGCTATTACCCATAGCCTAGTAGGAATATAGGTAATCTTTCTTCTTCTCTCTGCTTTCCAATTGCTCAAAATGTGTTTATTTTATATAACGGCCATAAAACCACTATATATGAATGTGCATATAAGTATTTTTAAATGGAAGCTTATATAATTTTCAAAATAATCTTTTCATTCTGTAATTTTAAAGATTTTCAAATGAAAGCAGCCACCTCGCTCTGCCACAATCTAGTGCACTATAGTCCACTGCACTGTTTCCTCACCCCCCCTTGAGGCACAGCCTGCCCCTCTCCCTATCACTGCCCTGCCCCCGCTCTAAGCCTCGCTTCCCTCCCCCCCAGGTTCCTACTCTACGCTTATCAGTGTCTGATCATCTGCATTATTTCCAGATCATTGTTGCTCAGTTCCTGACTTCTTCAATTTAACTCACCTCCCTCAGAAGTGAAAGAAAAGGCCACATTACCTTTGAGTACAGTTGAGATGCTGGCTCACCTACAGCCTAAGCCAAAGGTCGCCAATCTGATTCTTGCACCCAAATGAATGTTTGCATCAAAACACGGGGTTTTCAGTTTATCCCTGGTGGATTTCACTTGCTGTTCCTGACATAACTTGCTGTCTAGGGGTCATATCACGCTGAACATGCCCCACCTTGTCTGACCTCACCTGGTGAGATCATCTTGGAAAGTGAACTGTCAGACTTGGCCTGGGTACCCCAAAGCATACCTAGCACACTCTGATGCATGATGCTAGCTGCCCTGAGTTTAGCAGGGCATACAAGTAGATGCTCATCTTTGTGCTATTCTCCCAACCATGCTGACATCTGGTCCCCTTTGTGCCTGTTCTCAGCTCAGCTTAGAGTATCAGTACATCCTCTCTGTGTGTCAGTCCTTTGCTGGTTCCAGAAGGGAGCTAGAATCAGCAGGGCATCCTTAAGGGAACACCAACTGTTTCACACACATCAATAGAAAACAAAAACAAGCTCATTTGGGAATCACACCCAAACAAAACCACAGACACTACAACTGCAAAGACACAACACCTTTCTCACCTGCTAGCCAGGGTGGGAACCACTTCCCAAAGTCATGTCTCTACCTGCCCCCATAAGTCAGTAAGATACACAGTTGCCAAGTCACCCTTCTGAAAGACCCAATTCACAATGTAGCAATCTCCACATCTTTGAACCCTCCCCTCAAATTCCCTAAAATAAGCCCAAAGCCTTTAGTAAATCCCTCCCTGCTCCTTATTACCCTGTGGGGTACAGTCTTGCTACTGAACAGCATCCTTACTAAACGCTTTATTTTATACTACAGATACATTCCTGGAGGGCTTTTGCTAGTGGCATAGACAGTTCCTACTAACACATAGTATACATAAACGTGTGTGTGTGTGTGTGTGTGTGTGTGTGTGTGTGTTGTAAAGGACAGGAAGGAGAGATGGAGAGAGGGAAGGAGAGGACTACATTGTAAAGAATTTTACCAAAGATACTGTCAAGTTCATCTTTACTCAACAGAATTTGGGAGGTTGAGGCCTAAACTTTTTAACTTGAGTCAGCTTTGCACCCACCCCACTCCTAAAGTCATTTATTGATGGAGACATTCTAGGTACTCATAGCTGGGCAGCAAAGAGAATGTGGAGAACTTTTGTAACATCTTGAATCTGATTAAACATCCCAACAGGTACAGGACAGGCTCCCACAATGAAGAACTGTAAATCCCAAATGGAAGAAGCCTGGAACCAAGGTTCTCCATTCCAGCTCATATTAGAATCAGGAAAATTTGAAAACTCTACTGATTTTTCAAAGCACCCTGCCCAGAAGTGTTGATACAGGATTAACCTGAGATTCAAAAGAGCACACACATGAGCTTTAAGATGTCTGCCCAGGGTGATTCTAGAATGTAGGTGTAGAGAAGTTCACTATGAACAGGTTGGAAGCCCAGCTGCACCTGTGCTCCCTGGCTCCTTGGGCCTTCTCCTCTGGCTTCCTTGGACACCACTGACATGGCTACTGATGGAGCAGGCCAGCCAAATCCTTATAGTCATACCCTAGGTGGCTCTAAACAAGGCTTAGAAGCTTCCTACAGCTATATGTTCACATTCTGTTACCTTCCTCGTCATCTTGTCTACGCCAGTGAGACTGATTGGTGCTCTGATTCTCAGAGTGGTGCTTAGACCTAATACAATACCCTCACCAGCAAGTTTCTTAGAAAAGTCAGACTCTATGCCCTGCCCAAATCTCTCTGTTGACTGTGTTTTGTGCAGCCCCGAGACTGGCATCTCCACATGACTCGTGACTCCTCTTAGAGTTCCACCTCACATCCTGCCTTCTGCCCCAGTCATATGACCATCAATTCACTCTCTAAATATATCCCTTTCATGTCTGAGTTCAGCCAATATTCCAGACAGCAAATGTGGAGCGGGGGTGGTGGGGGGAGTCCTCATTAGATACCAAATCTGCTGTTGAAAGAGACACAGAGCTAAGCAGAGGCCACTGCAGGGTGGAAGGACTAGGAGATCAGGTCAAAGGCTGAATGCAGCTTGGGGAACCATTTCACCTTGGCTGAGCCGATGGCCTGTCCATCAAGATAGGTGGAAACCATGCAATTCCTCTTCATTTCTTTGCTCACAACCACAGCCAGGTGATGCCACTGACCACAAGCCAGCAACTGGCCACACCTGACCTGGAGCTGACGCCCTGCAGAGGGCTCTGTTTCATCCTCAGGTTCCATAACATCTGCAAGAGAGCACAAAGGCTAGACCTTACACATTATATCATGCTGCAGGGACCCAGAAGCTCTGAGCAGGGCGATGTTCTGGTCAGTCCACATGGGTCCTAAAGCCTATGGAGCTGCCAGGTATGGTGGTGTAAGCCTTTAATCCCGGTACTGATCAGCAGAGGCTGATCTCTGTGAGTTCCAGGGCAGCTGTGGCTGTAGAGAGACCCTGTGTAGCTATAGACTAGACTTCTCGTAAGAAAGCACCAGCAGCAGTTGCCACTACCATCCCCTGAGCTCAGAGTCTGTACCTAACACTGGTTAAGCACTCACAAGAATTACCTCATTTAACAAGTCCCACCACCCTATGAGGTAGGTGCTGTCACTGTTTCCATTTACCATCAGGCACAGAGAGCTGAGGGCACTCGCTGAAGATTGTGCAACCAAGATTCAACCTCAGCAGGTTCCAGGGTGATGCCAGGTACCAGGGACCCAAGCCCTGAAAGGGAGGAGTCAGGGAATCTGGCTGTGGGCCAAGGGTATCACCATTCTCTGGGTCTTCTAGGTATCTAGCTGTGAGACAGTGACTATTGGGATATATATATAGGAATGATGGCTGGGGTACCTGGGCTTGGTTGTAAGGCAGGTGAGCTTGGGAACATGCTGAAATATGGAAGACAGAGCCAGAAGCAGCTACCAGCTCTACTGAGGCAAGGATTAGGTTCCCAGGCATCCAGGCCAAGCCTGCCACATGAAGCACTTGACAGTGCTCCAAATCCTTTGGATTTGGTTTTTTTGTGGGGAGGTCTGGGGCTGCTTCATCTCCAGCTAAGTTAGGTACATTCTTCACAAACCTTGCTCAGAAGGTTACAAAGCCTCGTGTCCCAATAAGGCAAGCCCAAGTCCCACCTGTCATCCCTCTGCCAGGGCAGAACTGGGTTTCTGGAAGGCCACTGAATATAACTTCTGGAATCACCCCAGAACCCAGACCACAGTGCCACACAGCAAATATTTGCTTCTAGTTTTTACCAGGTGTGGAAACCAAGGCATCAGTCTCAAAGGACAAAGAGAAACAGGCAGTCACCAGGCTTCCAAACACACCCGTGTTGAGAGTGTCGGCTCAGCCTCATTCCCCAGCTGTTGGCCACACAAGCTTTGGGTCCCAAAGCCTTACCTAGGGGCTGGAACTCTTTTTCTTCTGTGGACACAACTAAGGAGAAGTCATCCATGCAGAGGCTGATGGAGAAGCAGACGAAGGGCTGCTCGGTCCTGGCTAGGTGACGCACCAGGGTTAGAAAACGCAGTGGGTGGCCCTCTATGACATTGGCCTGCCGGCTGATCAAAAACCAGCAGGAGAAAGTCAAGCCTCCGGGTGGAGGGAATGACCTGGGGGCACCTGGGGGCAGAACACAAGCACAGGCTCACACTGTCCCACCAAGGAAGAGAGTTCAGACTCCCGGCAGCTCTGACTCCACACTGCTGGGCCACCTACTAGATGCGAGCATTACATCTGGTCTAATTCACATTCAATCCATCCCAACTCCACCTGGCACAGGCAGCCTCTGTCTCACTGTTCATGGCAGGAAGAGGAGATTCACAAACTATATAGAATTCCTGCAAGGCCTTGAGCCACATACACAGCTGCTCTAGCCCTGTTCTTCCTTTAGTCCATGCAGTTCTGCCAAGGGAGCAGAGGATTCACTGTTTCCAAGGCCTATCTACATCTGGGCTCTATGGCAGTGAGGATGCTAATTCAGCTGAATCTGGGGTGGAAAAGTGGCCCTGTCCCAGGAAGTCCCTTGTGCTCCCATGTCCTAACAGGGTTGGCAGCACTGATGGGGCCACTGTTTCCATTAGCAACAGCACCGGCAGCCATGTTAGCACACTTGGTACCACTCACAGAAAGGTTTGCCCTGCATGGATAGGCCAGCCATGTTCTTATTGAAACCTGCGAACAAAGGATTTTGGGTTCAGGTGGCCCTGGGCACTTGAACTGTCCTGTCCAGTGTGTCATCAGCTGAGTGCACTGCTATAGAAAGTATAACCAGGCTCCAAGCTGATGCCCAGGGGCCACCTACCATGGACTGACCCACTCCTGGTGACCACCAGCACAGAACTCACACTCTTCTCTAGAGAAAGCTGACAGTAGATGATGCTCCTTTTCAGCCTGTGCCAGGCTCAAGTGCAATGGCTCAGACCCAAATTCAGTGCCCTCTGTGACTATCAATGTCAGTCCCTGGTTGTGGACTGAGCCCTTGAAATGCATGATGAATAGGACCATCCCCCTAAGAGCATGTGAGTAAACTACTAGCTGAAGCATCCTCACATACAGAAACTTGGGAGTAAAGGGAAGGCTTATGCTTTTTGGAAACACCAAGTAGAGATCTGCAACCAAGGGTATCTATGGACTTGGGAGATGCTTACCTGTCCCAGTCCCTCCAGAGATGGAGTGCTCTGTGCTGGTCCCCATAACAGTGGCTAAGGTCGGAGTAAACAGACACCTGAAAACGGGAAAGTGTGTCAGGTCATTGAACTGTAGACAAGCCTTGTATCAACAGTCTAGGCTATGACATCTCCCTACTCCACACTACTGCAGGGGCCACATCCCCTCTTAGGTCATAAGGTCCCAAGAACAGAAAGCAGCTGGTGCTGATGGGAGGCCCAGAAGGTGATGAATCCTCATTTGAGGCCAGACAGGATGGATGGCATTCTAGAAGTAGCCACAATAGTGAATGAGAGGGCTCTGGCCACCCATAGAAGGAGATTGCCCTGGGAAGCCGCTGGGGGAAGGATGTACTACTTAGACACACCTCTGCTTGAGTACTGAGAACCAAAACAATTTTCAGTTTTGTAGACAGTGTTATAGATCATTAGAGGCACTGGGAAGTTACCCAATCATATATGAGTCATCCATACCCATAACCTTCCACAGACATGTCAAATTCCACAAATGATGGCATCAGGGCTGCCCGGTGAGGCTGCAGGTTGCGTGGGGAGGTCATGGAGATGAGGCTCAGTGCTGTCTGCAGGGCTGTGGCTGAATCCTGGGAGACGCCTGAGGACCCGAGATCTTGAGGCCGTCCGGGGCATGGGCTGGCATCTTCAGGTCTCTCAGCTGTGTCTTTCTGTGACTCTGGGACGGCAAGCAAAAGAAAGATGTGTCCTTGCCCCACGCATTTCCATCCCTGTTGTGGCAATATCCCCAGTGTACCTGCCACAGCCCTGAGGGAGCATTTTTCAAAGTTACCTGACACTTCCTAAATACAAACGAAGGCAGGTCTACTCGACCCTAAGCCTGGGCTCTGCTGATTTCATTACTGTGGGATGGTGGCACTAATCCATGCTGAGAGACCTCTCCCAATCATCCCAGCAGGTCCCCCTGTCCAACACAGCATTTTCAGCTGCTGTCAGTGACTTGCTCGCCCCACTGGTATTCTTTGTTGGGTTCACACTGGCATGAGCACCCCTGCTCTGTCCTGAACAGCAGCCTGTTCACTTCAATGACCTCAGCTCCAACTTCTTACCACCAGTTCCAAGCCCAATTCTCTATCTTTGCTTTTCAGCAGGGCTTTTTCTTGCCTCAAAGCCCTGTGTGGTGTTACATTCAAGGTGTCCACAACTTTCTTTTCTCTAAACTGGTTCCCTGAAGCAGCATCTTCTCAGAGACTGGGCCAGATGCTGGGAATCCCCCAATACTTTTGTTTCCAACACCCCAAGTTGCTCCTAAGCTGTGAGCTTTTTGGAAAGCTTTCTGCCCAGTGCTTGAGGGCTGTGAAGGAAATATGGTCACTATAGTACAGTCTGTTTTGTCAAGGAGGTGCCACACCACTGTCATGTGAAGGAGGGGAATGGTTCTTTTTCTTCTAGATCTGCCATTCTATGAACCACCCCCATTCCCTGTGCATCCCTTGTCTGCCTTCCTGAGCAGCAGGAAAAACCATCTTACTTTAAGTCTACCCACTTTCCTACCAGTTATGAATGACCCCTCACCAGGAATAAACATTCCTTGCTTGACCCTCACCCTCTCCTGTTCACTGTCTCCTCACCTGAGCATGCAGGGTTGTCTCCATGTCCAGGGGATGAACTGAAGCTTTTCTTGGTAGCTGACAATGGTAGGCAAATTCCAAGGGCTAAAAACTGTCTGAATATCATAACATCAAAGTGTCAAATATAGACATTTTACAGGCAAAGTTTTCCAGATCGCTTCCCCGGACACCCAGTGCTCACGCCGCCTACCTCCCAGTACAGACACCACGGAATGCCATTTCCAAAAGTCATGCAGAAGAAACAGGTCCCTGTCCTGCAACCCAGCTGAGAGATGGTGGGGCCAAGAACCTCGGGGTGGACATCATGCCATACATTGCTTATAGGTTTCTAAAGGAATTTCCTGTGTACATAGCTGGCAGGGCTGAGACTGACTGGATCCCAGGCCTGCAGGCAGGCAAGGCTGTTCTCTGTCCCCACTGTTCTACATAAGTGGTGGGCTGGTAATGTGAACATGGACCACCTTCTCTGTCCTGCTCCAGAGTAGCAGGGGTCTTAAACTCTTGATCTCTCTCTCATGCAGCCTGTCCCTCCTCTGCCTTCTTTTCCCTACCTCTGTTTCTCTCTATATAGGAAAGCCTCTGCATGATGAAGTAGAGTCCTCCCTCTATCCCTGTTCATACTGCACTGGCCACTGCCCTGCTCTTTACAATCCAGCTTCTGGGTCCAGTCATGAGCACTCAGCCCCAGCCCTCCAGCAGAGCCCCTGATGCCCAGTTCTTTCCTCTCCCTGCTGTGGACTATCCAGGCCTCAGGACTCAGCTCCATCTTGACATCTCCATTCCCCAGAGCACCCTAGAAGAGGCTCTGTCTGCTCTGCGGGCACAAGCAGTAGATGCTGGAGTGGAGGAGAAGGAGAATGGGAACACCTATTCCTGCAGACTCAGGTACCCACAGTGTGTCCATTACCCTGTCATAAGCTCTGTGGTATTCAATATTTAGTGCACACAGTACCTTAGCACATCTGGTTCAATGGCTTGGGAACCCAACTTTTCAAAGATCCTGATGAGGAGTGAGTGCAGAGGACTACCGACCATGCTGAGGGCCCTGTGGCAAAAGGTCATGAGTGTCTGGAGCATGCCTGCCTCACACATGACCTGGCGACTCTTCTCCGATTTCACCAGGGACAGGAGGTAGCTGGCCATGGAACACTGGATCTCCTCAGAAAGCTAAGAGATGACCAAAGCAAGGTATGAGTCTGAGAGAACAGAATACACTCTGGGTGACTTTGTAGTCTCCCAGGTGGGCATGGGATCGGGGTGGGGGTATGACAGGTCAACAGTGCCCACCACAGCTCACTGCACCCTATCTGTCTCAGGTGCTGTTCTCAGTTCCAAGAGAGGAACTGAGTTGCTGGGGTCAGTCATCAACTGAGAGCAGGGGCTGCACCCAGGCAGGTGGAGGCTGGGTAGCCCTCAAACATGTGGTGTTGGACCCACATGATGTTGGAGAGTTTCTGAATTAATTGCTAACATTGAAAAAATCTGAAGATTTCACATCCAAACAAAGACTTACAGCCTCTCTCAAAGATATGAAGGTCTGGTCATGCAGGATGGGGGCCCTGTGTTAAGAAGCTATTGGTGGCCTGCCAGGCATGGTGGTGCATATCCTTAATCCCAGCACTCGGGAGGCAGAGGCAGGCAGATCTCTGTGAGTTCAAGACCAGTCTGATCTACATAGTGAGTTCTAGGGCAGCTGAGGCTATAGGGAGACCCTGTCTCAAAAAAACCAAAAACTAAAAGAAGCCATTGGTGCTGGAAAGGGACCATGCCCCTAAATGGACACAAATCACTCTCCCCACTGGCTTCATTCACTGGGTTTCTTCATTTAGGTTTGCACCCCTGAGAGTAAAAGGAGGGGTCCACCTGGTTTTATGAGCCTAAGATAGACAACACACACACACACACACACACACACACACACACACACGGGCATGTGTGCATGCACAAACACATGTACACACGCCCTTGACTGACTGAGGTAGGTGCAATCTTCAGTATACTTTCAAGCCACACTCAAAGCTGACAGGCCATCTAGTCATAGGCTTCACTCTGGGGGCATCTCCCTCCACACACCACTCCCTACCCCACCTCAGACATCCTCTTCTCTCTGGGAGGGAAGTTTCTCGAAGCCCTGAGTACATTTCATAGACTCTCAGGGGGTAGAGGGGAGGACAGGCCTGATATTTACTTCAAGGGCCACATGTTTCCCTGTGCTGTCAGTAACTCCTGGCTTCTTAGGATGTGCTAAGAGCTACTCAACATTCCCCTGTGGATAGATTTCTCAAATGCTGTGCTATGGCCATCCCCACTTCACAGATGAGGAAACTGAGTTCAGAGAAGCTAACTGCCCAGATCTGCATGGTAAGGAAAGGGAGTGACTTTGACCCTGAACCATATGCTCAGAATCACCTCATCCATCATCTTCTTGCCATGTGTAGCCATTTGAAGGGCTCTGTGCCAAGACACAGTCAAATGTGTCTTCCTATCACTAAGAAACAAAGATGAATGAGACTGGTTCTCCCACTAGCTAACAATTTCTCAGCATATACACTCCAAGGAGTGACATATATGAGAAAAGGAACATATTTATGCTGTTTTCCATAAATTCCTATATTTGTACTTTTTAAGTGGTTGACACAGTACCTCAGACTTGCCACTACCCAGCCCCTGTAGTATGCTACAGCACAAGTGCGGAGGTCAGAGGACAACTTTGGGTGTCGATCTTCACCTTCTACCTTGTTTGAAACAAGGTCTCTTGGATGTTTCCCTACTGCATGTGCCAAACTAATTTTCAGGGATTCTTCTGCCTCCTATTTCCCAGTAGCAATACTGGGATTACAGATGCTCATGTTCTGGGGATTTAAACCCAGGTCTCCCAACTTGCATGCCCAGCTCTTTTATGCTGAGCTATCTAAGTCCCATTTCTAAGTTAACTTCAATAATACTTCAAATTAAAAATTTGGGAGGATCCAACTATGTTAGACTGATTTTCAGGATGACTTCTCTGCTGAGCAGGATTTTGCCATTCCAAACTGTCACTTTGTCAACACTGCTATCAGCTAATGTTGAAGACTGGTCTTATCAATTGAAGGAGGTGGTCCTAATATTGGTCTGATTATAATGAACTAACTGGCGGTATATAAAGAAAAAAAAAGCTTTATTTAGCTCTGGAGGCCCAAGGGCATGACAGGAGCATTGGCTTGGCTCTGGTGAGGGCAGACCCACTTGCCTGTGTCACATGCAGATGCCACCATGTCAAGAACAGAAAGAAGAGGGACATCCGAACACAAAGTGAGACAGGAAGCAAGAGAGCACAGAGGGGCCAGGCTTGCTGTTTTATAAGAATCCTCTATTGAGAACCTGGTGGGTTCCCATGAGAACTGCATTAATTCCTCCCAAAGGCAGCATCCTCAGTGGCCATCCACTAGGTTCTGCCTCTTAAAGACACCACCATATCAACACCACCCCACTGGGGACCAACCTTCTACCACATCAGTCCATGGAGGACACATTCAAGCCACATCCAAACAGTAGGCTTTCCTTTAAATGTGATCTGTGCATAGCCAATCTGAGCTGTCTGATGCACATGCCATACACACATAGCCCAACAAGGACCAGGACCCCAAAGCAGAGCCAGCAAAGCTATCATATATCAAACAAACCCAGAGCCATCACTGTTACTTTGCGTCACTCTCCATGTGGAAGTTTACCAACCTCCCTGACTGGTTTTCCCACGTCCTTCCACTGGTGTGCTGTCCCTCCCCACGTCCACATGACCCTCTTTGCCTCTGCCTTCCTCGGTACCCCTCCAACAGCAAAGAGAGACCATCCACCCTCTTGCCTTAAGCATTCCCTCTACCAGAACTTTCTTATTATCATTTGGTAACTGTACTCTTTTAATTTGGGTGAGAGTTGGGGAGGCAGTTGGCATGAAGCAAGATGCAAAAATAGCATCACCATGTATTATTAATAAGATTTTTTTAATGTTTACAATCTCCTCTTTTTTTCCTGGAACATATCTACTTTCTGCTTTGGGGACTTTCATTTTGTTTGTGTGTGTTTGTTCCCTCCACCAAACAGAGTAGGTATAATTATAATCTAAATATTCAAAAAGAAAGAGAAAAAGAAAAGAAAGTTTTCAAAAGGGAGAAATGCTGATCTTGTCTAATCACACCACAAATTTACTCCAAAATTGCTCAATACCCCATAATGGAGGAGGAAACATTGATTGGCCTCATTATCGTTGCAACTCTGTCAATACCAATATTGCCTTGTTTTGAATAAAATGTGCTGGTTTTTTTCAATGCTGGTTCCAGTAAAATGGGGTTTTAGTGAAAATATGAGCAGTAGCAGGAAACCAGTCTGGTTTCTCCCCCTCCAAATGTATTGATTTCCCTAACGCATTTCACTCCCAGTGCGGGAAAGGGGACGCTGGTTCAATTAGGACTCCAAGGTAAGAGTGAGGGGTCACCAGGCAGGCTGGCAGGCTGGGCCCGCAAGGCAAATTCACAAAGCAATCTGGGGGCCTTTAGGCAGTTTCTGCTTTCTTCTACCTAGTATTCAAGACTTCAAACCTATTCTGGGGCATTCATTCCTCTGATTGCCCTCTTTCTACCCAGATTTCTTTCTGGTCCAGATTGATATGTCCCAGAGTCCAGTAAGAGCTGAGTCTCTGTTCATGGTTTTATCACTTACATGTGGTTTCTCCCCAATGGGGTCAGCTGCTTTCGGAAGCTTGGTCACCAGGATGGTGACGTGAGAGAGTATGGGGCCTTTAAGAGATGGGGCCCAGTGGAAAGTCCTTAGGTCATTGGGGGTGACGCCCTCATATTTTGCTCTGGATCCCAGTGTCTGACCACATGATTTCTTCCTCTCAGATTTCCTTCCACCATGATGCTAGTTGTGAGAAGGTTCTCCCTAGAGCTGAACCGATTCCAGTATCAGGTTCCAAAGCCTTTAAGAATCGTGATCTAAACAAATCTTCTTTCCTTACAAAGTGTACAACCTCACTTACTTTACTGCAGTAACAGAAAATGGGCTGACATAAGAGCCTCCAAGGATGCTGGATAGACATCAGTCTATCTTCTGATCCGGTGTCTTTTCTGGATTGTAACCCTGTGGCCCTGACACTGACATAACCCCACCACCTCCCAGATCTGCATCCCCTAGAACTTTGAAAGAATGAAGGAAGTTTTTTTTTTAATCTTTTTGAAACAGGGGCTCTCTGTGGCCACAGCAGGCCAGGAACCCACTATTTAGAGCAGGCTGGCTTTGATCTCACAGAGATCCACTTGCTTCTGCCTCCTGAGTGCTGGGATTAAAGATGTGTGCCACTATGCCCAGTGAAGAATGAGGGAATTTTTGACTCATTCAGATTTGGATTACTTGCTCCAATTTGGTCGATGTGTTCTTTGATGATTTTGGGAGAGAGGCAACAGACTTCCTATGACCTTAGTGCTTTTGGTTATCAAAGACTGTAAACAGAGTACTAGGGATACACAGAGCTCACAGGTGTGCCACAAATAAGCTCTGTGATAAGGTACCTTCTTGACCATAGTTATGCCGTATTCAAGTCTAGGCTGAATCTAGCCTCTGAAACTAAAAGGCAGTTGGCCCAGGGTATGGGAACAGAGGTAGGGCTCAGCTGCAAGCACGTCAACAGGCTACTAGTTGCCATGAGAACAGGTCAGCATGTCCCTGGTCGTTGCTGCTAACCACAGATTTATGGCTTCTGTACTATATGTTTGGCTTACTTTTGCAAAATAGGAATTGTTAGGGGTCTCTCCACCCCTAAGCTATGGACCTCTTGGAAACTTAAGCTTCTCACCCAGGATGTAGTTTTTCTGTATAAAAACCTATCCTAACACCAGCAGGGCACTGCACTTGGGTTCCAACACCCTTGTGTAGTTGCTGGCCAGCTAATAAAAACTTTCATTTGGCAAAACTTTGTCTGAGTGGTCTTCTCTGGTGAAACATCTCACAACACTGCTGTGGTTTTTTTCTATCACTTGCTTAGACTTGGTTCTGTCTGTGGCATAGAGTTGCCATTTTCCCATAGTGCCACCAACATGACACTTTCGTTTGTAATTCCCCCACAGCATCATTGACTTGGGAGTTTGTGATCTTGGCACAGGTATGTCTTAATTTCCTTTCCTGTTGCTAGGGTA